CTTGGTTTTATTGCGAAAAGTCATGTTTTTAGAGAGACACAGTGTTTGATGCATTCTATTGAACGGCAGAAAAAGAGAATTGCCACATGATTTGGCTTATTGAAAAACTCACACCAGGACAAATTGGTCAGCTCATATCAGCAGAAATATTCATGACGTCATTGATCCAGAATTATTTCAGATCATCATCCAAAATATGTTTCATGGTCGGTGTGCATCACCATACATGTCTGTTTGAAAATGCACTAACGATATCCTAGAGAATTAACTGTTAAGACTATCACTGGTTTTTTCACCATTAAATAAAATTCTCTATTCAAATCATAATCACAAATCTCATTAACACACTTAAATACAAAATTTAAATTCAAACTGAAAGCGTTGCAACGCACGCAGGGTACAGCTAGTCAATTATAATACGGCGAATAATAAAATTCCAAGACGAGTAAGTATCTTTTCTCCATTCATTTTGCTTTTTAGTAGATAGGTCATTATTTTTTTTATTTCAATTAATGCATATTTTACTACCGTTGTTGAACAGACGACCTAATTTTGGGTTTACGACTACCAATCTTTAACTCCGTAGCCCTGTAATTGTGAACCCAATCCAAATGAAAAAAAGGGAACTCCTGGATCAAGTAGGTATTGGGAGAAATTTGCCTTCGTGGAGGACTTCTTTATGGAACTAACCAGCGTTTGCGTTACATAGAGAGGAAAACCTTCCATGGCTAGAATGACGGCAAGGGGACTCTAACCCATGATCCGTCCACCACTGATGATATTTTACGACAGAACTGCAGTCTGTGAGAGCCAGGTGCGGAATTCGAATCGATGAGCCATCGCTGGGATTCGAATCTGGTTCACCTCAATGGAAGGCGATCGTTCTATATCCTGAGCTATCACAGCTCTAATTGATACATATAATGATGGCTCAGAGGAGATAGAGCGTTCGCCTCCCAGTGTGATGATCCTGGTTCGAACCTCAGCGGTGGCAGAAATTACATTTTTAGTAAAATAGTTGTAGTCAACTACAAAAAAAAATGTAGTTTTACCGACCATTGAGCTCGCGTTAAAGTAGATAATACACACATACTAATTTCATGCAATAAGGGATTCATTTGAAACTAATTTTATATTATAACAAAGGAAGCCATACTTTCTGTAAATACCTATTGATGCCTGTCAATATTTAGTGAACTTTAAAAATAGGCCTCAATTAGTCCGAAATACGGTAATCCCAGTGACTCTACAGAGTTAAAATAAGATTGGACAAATAGAAAATTTTTAATCAGTTTTGGCACTGCGGAATTCATTCGCAACTGGTTTCTTATAAAAATACGAGTGTCATATTTTCTGAAAATATTCAAACATGGCAAGAAATATTAAAAAAAAAAAAAAACTAANATTAAAAAAAAAAAAAAAAAAACTTAATTAGTCTAAAATATGCAGATCCCAGTGCATATAGTCGACAATTTGAGAATTTTTTTTTTTGCAATCCGGGATTAAAAATTGGTTTCATATTAAAATATGGGCGTCATAAGATCCGAAAATAGAAAAAAAAGTTATAAATAATAAAAGTTTTTGATGCTGCCTTTATTTGAATTCACAAAACAATATAATTTTTAATCTAGTTCATTTATTTCAGTATTGACAAAATAGGAAATGAAATGAGTTTTTTTTTTAATTTTATGTAAAAGAGTTTTCGGAAAAGAAATAAATGCATTTTTTGAATTATTGCAGATTTTGGAATAACCAAAAAACACAAGTTTTTATTGTTTATTTATTTAAAGCAAATTTACCCCAGTTAATGCTTCTGCTGTAAATTGTTACGGGATGTGTTCAACAATATAACACTAAATAAGGGAATATGATACCCTCAACAAATTTGTAAAAAAAAGGATATTTATTTATATGGCAAAACCCATTTCTTAGTCATGAAAAAATAAAACAGGTAACAAAAAACTTTTTGGAATGACTCTTTATTTCAGAAAAAATATAACATTTATAACGACAGATATTCACATAATATATATACATAATTCATACCTATACCAAAGAACATAACTTTTAATTTTGTGACAGTACAGAGTTAAAAATTATCACACACTTTAATAAAAACAAAATCTGTGCGGAAAAAAATGATCCAACACAATTAGCAGCCAACATTTGATTTCATAGTTGATAAATTTAACCATGGAAAACTTTTTCATTAGATAACATGGACAATTGATAAATAGATTTATGAAATTCATTTTTTGAGCGATAAGTTATACAGGGAGTAACAAAACCATTGATCTATATAGTGGTATTAAATCTTGTTAGGCAATAATCTGAATTGCTGAAATGAGACCTATAAAACTTACCCCTTGATGACGCTTAGCTATTATTTTTAGATTTAATATCGCTGGAAACATAATTACACTACTAAGATATTATTTTAAAATTTAGAATTCGTTCTAATTTATCTCAATTTGAGAGATATTAATTTTTATCAAGTTTCCGAACATTCAAACGATTTCATAATCATAAGAATAAATGTTGGCTACTTTTAGCATTATCGCCAAAACTTAAGGGATAAACAGTCGTTTGGAAGAGCGATAATGCTTGAATTCTGGATTAACAACACTTTCTTTTATTCCCATTCTACGCCAAAATGAATTTCAACTTCGAAATAGTAAATCAGACAAGCAGATACCTACAGTGGACAAAAGTAATGCTTAAAACTAAAAGAAATTATGAATTTTTTCCCCCTTACAATAGGGGGTTGGAAAGCGAAAGGTGACCCACGAGAGGGTGCTTGCTTGGTAAAATTATATAGGCATAGCCTTTTTTGAACAGATGTTATGGTTACACGGGACCAGTGGCCAGCTGGGATGGGGGGGGGGACTCATAATAGTGCCAAATTCATGAAAAATGAATTTTAGCGTAAATTGCTTTTCTCTTTTAAATACCCACAACTTCCTCACATTTTCATATGATTTACCTAAAAATTTAACAGGATATTTACTATTAAAGTAGTCTGCTTTGCACATAGGTTTATTAATTTTTTAAAAATTATTTTAAATAAATTAACTATATATTGGATGTAAAATGCCTTTTAATAAACGCTTATCATGAAATCAAAACCAATAATCCCTATTTAACTACATTAGTGTATCTGTTAAACCAAATCGAATGAAAACTTAGAAGTAGGAGTTATATCTAGTCACGTTGTCGTAACATTATGTAAAGCTGCAAAATATTATTCAATGAAAAATTTTAAAAAAAAAAACAAGTATATTAAAGTTAAGTTTTTACATTATCTGAAACTTTAAATGGTTCCGAAAAGCCCCTTTTTAAGTCCTACATTATATACTAAAGGGACACTAAAACTGAGCTTGTACCTGGGATCAGTTAAACCAAGCTATGCCAATACACTAGACACACCTCTTAGCCATCCACTCCCTCGATTAATGCTTGCTACATTCTATAACACATTACAGTTGTGACCATTAGTTATGTTACACTCTGTAGTTTCAGTTGTAAAGAAGGTATTTCAGCTAATTGGCTAGAAAAATAGCATTTTAACACTATATGTCAGTAACAATATCTACATAAGTTAAAGGAGAGTTTGCTATGTCTCCGAGAAAAACAGAATAATTCATAAATTAAATAGAAGAAAAATTAATTTCAAAACTGAAACAAATATGTTTTAAAATTTTTTTATAACTGATTGAAAAATGTAGATTTCTAATTATTTTAAAAGTTTCAATGTAATGAAAAAAAAAGAGAACAAATAATATGTGATGCAATCAATTTATGTCAATCTGAAATAAGTTTGATTTATTATTAAGAATAAGTAGAAGCATTAATTGAGAATAAGTAGAAGTATTTATACTCATTTCATAGTTTCAGATCAAACATAATAAGTAGAGGGCAAAGGAAAGAATGACACCTCACATTCCAAAACTACGTTAATTGGGATAAAAAGAAAGCCTAAAAAGTATATGAAAAACTCCAAATAAATACATAAAATTGTCCATTAAAATAATTATGAACTTATTTATTTTCATATGAAATATTTCCATATATTTTCAATTGAAATTCAGTATTCTTAATGCAGTTAAAAATTCTTTATTACAAAAAAAAAATGAATAAGAAATATTTTTTATGAGGTATAATTGGACGAGATTTAAAAACTTCCAACACAATCATTATCGTTCAATCTGTTCATTGAAAGTGCATAATATTAATAATTTAAAATAAGAACTTAAAGCTAAATCGCTACAACTTCTCCCATAAATATGTTGAAAACGTGCACTTTATTATTCCACCTATTATAAATACTATTGAAAAATCTCTGATATAAATGTGTATTATTAGCTTAACCAATGTGAGTTTTAAGTCAAGGAACTTGTAAGATTAAGGACATTGTATGAACTAATACAGAAACACGCATGCATTCACAATAGTTATCCTCTAAACATACAAATAAAAAACTAAAATCTCAATTTTAAACTATAATTTATTTACAATTTCAAATCAAGAAGAGATATTTTTAAAGAAATATATTTTAAAATATGAAAGTAGTTCAAAAAGTTGATACAGGACATCACTGTGAAAACTTTATTGCTTTTATTAGTTAGTGTATTTATTTTATAGTTAGTGTTTTACCCTGCATAGCATAGCAATCATGCAAGTATTTTGTTTCACGAAACAATTAAGTAAATTAAACTTCCTCACAGTTGGGGTACATGTATTTTATTTAGATACCTGAATATTTTCCATAAAATAGTTTGTACTTTCATTAGGACAGTATGAAAAAACCCTTTTTTAATAATAAGGTTGGGACTTTTGCAGACTTTATAACTCAATGCACATTAACATGAACTTTATTTATTAGACTGCTTACCATAGTAAACACAAACCTAGAAAATACATCATTATCATTGGATATCCACATAGTTTATAAATCTGTCTTTTAAGCAATTTCTTTTTCTGTACTATAATTGCACCGTGTGCCTTCATGGCTTACAAATCATGGCCATGTTGAAGTAAATGACAGTTTTTTACTATATTTTTTACAGTTGATTTTGAAGAAACTCTAGTTTCTTTCTTCAAAACATGCATAAATTAGGAAGGAGATCTGATTACTGTGATTTGATTTATTGGTATTTCATTGTACTTGAATGTTTTATAAATACTAATTTAAATGCATTGACCAAAATTATAAAAAAATATTTTAAAAAAAATATACAACATATTGCCAAGCAAAAATATGAAATCATTAATATTTTCTACACAAACAATTTCTATTTAACATTTACAATTTTCTTTCTGATTTCAGTAAAAGCACATATATATTGCTTAATTTTTTTATAGAAAACATTGATTTTCAAACAATTGAAAAAAAAAAATGGAATTAGTATAATTTAAATTAAATGAAGAAAATGATTTTTTTTAACAAAAGTTAAAATCATGGTCCACATAATTAGCACCAAATGTTCTAAAAGTATTTCAACATTTCAGGGTGAAATATATAATATATGCTACTTTTCCATTATTCAGATGCATAAGTTACAGCATCTGAATTTACTTATTAATCTTTGTCATAACAATTATAATTATAACAGGAAAAAGACTTATATTTAGAAAATGAAATAATTAGGACGTTAAATTAAAGAATTTATCTGGTAGTTCATAATTGATTTAATGGTAGTTTTAATTATAATAATAAAAAAAAAAATAGAGGCACAACTCAATACTATTACAAAATTTCATTAAATGTTAATTTTAAGAATGTTTTTAAAGGAAAAACACTGTTTTATTTACAGCTAATGTTTTTGTCATGGAATTCACAATAAATAATGAACATTAATAAATGAAATGGGTAATTATTTTGAAACTATATTGAGAAATGAAACAAAAGATTAAACAAAAATTTAAGTAGAATCAAGTTCTTTAATGAAATAAATAACTGGGAAGTTTAAATAACTGGAGGAGAAAAATCAAACTAATAATAATTTTGCATACTAAATTGTAAAAATTTTTTTTTAAATTTTAAGATTTAAAATGAGTCTAAAATTATGCAGGTATCTGTACAAATTTTTAATAAATAAATTTTGATAAAATATTTAGTTATCAGTACTATGAACAAAACTTTTCCTTTATTCATTCAAATTTAATCAATATTTTCAAATTTAAACTGTAAAAACTCAGCAAAATTTCTAACAAAATTCAACACCATGCATAAGGCTGTAAAGCTTCCCAAAAAATATATTTGTTTGTGAGTTCTGATTAAAATGTTATTTATTTCTTTTTTTTTTTTTAGTGGGGTTAAAATTAAAATTTTGCTACTATAAATAAAACGTACTAAAAACAACCTAAAATTAAAAATAATAACAATGTACTTATAAAAAAATAATGATAAATATTTGACATACATCTGAATCATAGTGGAATTCAGTTGAAGTAAACAAAAGGCTCATTCATATAAAAATATTTAAGTGTTAAAATAAAAAATATAACTAAATGGAGAAAAACAAAAATACCATATAAAAAGTAAAAATAGCTTTAAACTAGTTGTTAATTGATAATGTCAAAAAAAATATGTATACATATTTTGTCTGCACATTTTACTATCGAAACAGATAATATTTCAATCAGAAAATTTAAAAAAAAAAAAAAAAACAATTTTTGAGATTCTTGTGCACAGAAAAAGAAAATTAACTAATATAATTATGTAATTTTCTTTAATCACGATGAGTTATTTTGAATAAAGAAAGTCATCAATAATAATCCCAAAAATAGTTGAATTATAACTGAACGAAAGCTTTTCATACTAAAAAAAGAGATCAAATGTGCAAAAAGTTACTATTTCTTTACTAACACATACTAATTTAACATGATATATTTTATTTGTATAGAAACAAATAACAAATACATTTTAACAATGTGTAACAAATGTTCTAAAATATGCGCAAATTGTAATAATTTATCTAATAACTAACAATAAATAAGGAAACAGATTGGACAATATCATATTACACATTAACAACATAGTTTTTCTTTAAAAATAAGTTTATTCTTATAAAATTTAAATAAATGGAATGACATTCTAAATCAAACTGATTCTAAAAGTTTGAAAACTTTAACATTTAACATCACTTCAAACATTTTTTTTAATTTATAAAAATCTAATTTCGAGTGTTGTGAATAAAAAAGCTTTTAATTAAACAAAAAACTAAGATGAACTGATAAAGCACATAACAAACAAAATTAAATAATTTTTGCCACTGGTCAGTCAAGTCATAACAAGTCAATTCAATACTAAAAGCTTCACATAATTTCTAACAACACACACACATCTTTAGTTAAGTGAATAAAAATAAGTTTTAACGGTTTATCAAATAAAAATAATCTCAATTAAAGTAATTTATTAACGCAATTGTTAAATTACATAAAACCAAGTGAATAAATTATATGCATTGCAACCAATCAATTTAATTAAAGTGCAACCTAGCAAGTCACTTTGATCTTAAAATCTCCCACACGTTTTTACATTTGGCAAGAAATAAAATACAAACAATTATAAGATAAACACTATGCAATTGACGATCAATAAATATGAAGAATTGTTTAAATATATTACTTGCTTTTTTATTTAATATACTTCAATAACAGAAACAATTGTAAAGAAAATATCCAATATTTCTTTATGAATTCCGATATGTGTTATACTGTTTTTCTAAGCTTTCAAGTTCCTTATGATTGATTTCATCCTGCAAAAATATATTTAAAAATGATTAAAAAACATGTTTAGAACATAATATACTTTGATCACTAGCTTCAATGAACTTGTCTTAGATCACAAATACTAAAAATAAGTGTTATAAAGGGTTGCAAGATACAACATATGATGGCCTAACACAAGGTACACCATAAGATTTAACACAATGTTTCATCCAGGGCAGGGATAGGCAAACTGCGGAATGCGGACCAACTGGAAGGCTATACCAGCCTGCAGATAGAATTTTAACTTGCCGATTCGTGACAAATATAAACAATATACACCCCTTTTCTTGTCTACTTTGTTTAAAGCTATTTTTGCTCTTTCTTTTTTAACAAAGGATTGATGAAATTTTTACTTTCTCTATTTTTGTTCTACAAAACATAAATTGATGGAAATAGGCAGCTTCAATTGGTAAAATGTTGAAAGCAAAAGTTCTTTATGGAATAGCCGCAGATTGGCGCCATCTGAAGCAGCTGTTTCTAAATATGCCAAAGTTAGAGTTTTACAAATCATTACCAAAAGCTAGCTTCTCAAATTTAATATTTTATGTTCAGAAAATCAGTGCTATTTGCTTAATCTTATATATGTGAACAAGTGTTTTCAGCTTCGAAAAAATCATTTCAGAAGTAGACTAACAGACAAACATTCAGCCTTAAAATAAGTACATCTCACTTGGAACCTCAATATAAAGAACTTTTAAAAATGAAATTGCAATTTCATTCATCTCATTAAATATTTAAATTAAAACTTGTATATCGTTTTTCTACTTTAGAAGTTTTTACTTGGCCCACCAAAATTTTTTTCTTCGTTTTTTTTGCCCTTGACCAAAAAAGTTTGCCCATCCCTGATCTAGGATCAATTTTCCTGATTTTATTTTTGCCCACAAAAAAATATATATATATATATATATTAATGTGCAAACATAAAATGTATTACTCACAAAAAGTTTCTAAGTTATTTGTACAAGATTATTCAGAAAAAAATAAGCAATAACTTAGCAAATTAATTTTTCCTTACTAACTAGCCAATTCTCGATCTGTAAACTAGACCAAAAATATTAATAATGGAGTATGTTTAGTCACATTCTACAGAGAATAATGCCAGATGCTCAAAAACGTTTGTGTCTTTCTCAGAAACAGGAACACTTTTTGGTTCATTTTCTAGAAGACAGTACAATGCTAAGTCGGCTAAAGGAACAATTTTCACTGAGTATGTTTTCTTGTTTCACATTAAACTAAGAAATTTCCTTTTTTTGGTCACAAGGAAAGATAGGAATAGACAAAAATAATTGAGTAAGAGAGTGGAGTTATAAAAATATATAATTTATAATAAAATTTTAAGATTTAAAATTGCATTACAAAAAAATTTGATCTGTACATCAGAAATTAGTTTTTAAATTTCAGAATTATATTTTTCAGTTCTCTCAGAAGATTGAAAATGTTTTCTAAAATTACCCAGATTAATCATGCTTTCACTCTACTGAACTCTTGTGATAGATATAACTTACACAAGATCAGAAATAAGCATTTACTTACATCTTCTCCTTTTACTGGAATAAGTAAGGCTCTATCAATAGTTGATATTGCTTCAGAGTAACTACCATCTTTGATGTAGGTCTATAAATAAATTAAAAAATACATCAAACTTAGTTATTATATTCTGTGGAAAAAAACATGTGCAATTTGTGACAAAATATATCTGATGCTCCTAACGAGCACCCTTAACATATATATTTTGTCCAAAATGAAAACAAAAAAGCATACATAATAAAGAGTGGCAAATTAATATTTAATTCAGATAAAAGATATATGCTATTAAAAAGTGATAAGTCGACAATGGAAGCAGTGCTCCCTCAACTGGTTTGATTAAATAAACAACACAACCAGTTTAATTGCCCTATAAAATATGAAGACGTTTCTAATAATTGTCTTCACCTTTTCTGTTTTAAAATCACACTGGTTTTGATGTTTTCAGTCTTGCATGTTTCGGGAATGATTTGTTTGATTCCAATAATTTTTCAGTTTCTTCTTCAGTTAGAAATTAATTTGCAGCTTCAATGTGCATGTTTTTTCTTCTGAAATAACCTGTTGAATTGCTTCATAAAATATGGAGGTGTTTTTAATAATAGCCTTCAACTTTTCTGTGCTTCAATCAAACAGGTTGAGATGTTTTCAGTCCGTATTCCTCAATAGTGATTCGTTTGATTTCATTGTTTCAGTTTTTTCCAGGCTTAAAAATTAGCTGGTGACACCTTAATTGGTGATGACTAATTTGGCAATGTGACGCTTTTGACAAGGATTTTATATCTATGTATGTGTGCAGATATATTTGTGTGTACAGGTTTACAAATATAGATGAAACATCAGAATTTATAATTTTATCGATTATTTGAGTGATTTCAGACTTTTGGGACTGATTCCTTCCTAAAAGGAGTCAGTTTCGCTCTGACAGTTAACGATCTAAGTTTTTCGTCCTAAGATCGTTTGTTTATGTTCTGTTCTGCTATTTTGTAGTAAAAGTTAAGATTTTGAGGTTTGTTATATATATATATTTATACATTTTGAATAGATTTTTTAAATATAAATCTAATTAGAAGATTTTTTGTTATTTATCTAATTTAAAAGAGTACACCTATTCTAAGTTTTTTTAAAAAAAATGATTGTTACTAAGTAATCAAATCGGTTATACTTGCAGAATTAAATTGAAATACATTATCAGCAATAAAAATGAGATAATTTCAAAAGTAACACATTGAATTGGTTGAATTATTGGTCAATTACACATTGAAGACAACAGATTTGAAATTTGTATTGAATAAAGTAAACCAGCATTTTTTTGAATAATTATGATTGAAAACAATATTTATAAAAACAAATGTAATATAAAGAAAAATTTATTAATTGATGAATGCAAACTAATGAATTTATACTTACTTTGGCTAACACTAAAAGATTTTCTTTCCAATCAGGTTTTAATCTATCCGCCTAAAAAATATATATATATTTAAACATTTAGAAAAAAAATTCATATACTGCATAATTCCAATTATCAAACATTTTTTATTTCAATTTCAATCTACTTTTAAAACAAAGAATGAAGTAACTATGGTATGAAACATTATTGCCAGTTATCATCATAGCAAACAATTATAACTAATTAAAAGCTAAAAGAAAAATTTGTTCTCATAAAGTTTTAATACATGATTTCTTTTTTAAATTATGCATTTCGTTTTCTTTTCTTAAAGAAACATTGCACAATAATAAAGAGGTTTACAAAATTTTTTTAAATAAAAATTTTGGTAAATATTACTTTAATGAGTGAAATTGTTTTTTAATAGTTTAGTTAACCTATGATTACAATTCCAGAAAATCTTTTGATTTAATGTCAACAGTTTGAGTATTTAGTTTGACTGTTTACAGGGATGAGAGTTGTCAGAGTAAAAAAGAGGAAATCCAATATATATATATATATATATATATATATATTGCTTATCCAAGGTTGAAACGNTATATATATATGATATCTAAATATTTGCAAAAAAAGTGTGATTTTTAAACTATGTGACTATAAATCTCGATGATTAATTTTAAAATTGTATGAATATGAATCCCATAAACACGAATCATATGCATGATTTTAAAATTGTGTGAATAAGTATTGCAATATGTGGCTTTTGAATCACGTGAATATGAAACTCTATATTGGATTTCAAAAATGAGAATAAAAATCACGATGGGTAATTTTTAGATTGTGTAAATATGAATCACAATGCATAATTTTTAAATCGCATGAATACAAATCCCAATGTTAAATTTTTAAATCGCGTACAAATACGGAAATTGACGTTTGATATAAAAACCGCATAAACAAATCATGACATTGGATTTTAAACTCGAGTGAATAAGAATCGCTACATAGGAATTTAAAAACTGCGTAAATACAAAACTTGCTTTTGGATTTTTAAATCTTGTGAATAAGAATTGTAATTCGCAACTTTAAAATCATGTAAATACGAAAATAGATGTTTGATATTAATATCACCGGAATAAGAATCAAGATATTAACACATTTTTTCAAAGGCTTGTTTGCATTGTTTTTGTTTAGCCATAATAAATAAAAATTTTAAAGATTAATTGAATGAGCAAATAAATATTTTCACTGCAAATCCACAGCTATTTTCTTTTATTATTTTGTTTGCTTTTTGCCAGCTAACAGGAAGCAGTGAGACGTCTGAATTACAAAAATACCAGCTATCTGACGGGCAGGCAAAAATACGGAAAATCTCGCTTTCTTTGTGCATAATGGAGAAAATAGCTAAAATAAGTAACAATGCGGAAGGGTTGGCAGCTAGGTAGATTGAATTTTCTGTTTATCTCTGAAAATCAGAAATAGATATAATTATTTTATTTCAATGATTGAATTTCCAGAAAATGCAGAATATTTATTTAAAAAAAAAAAAAATTTTTTTTTAGAGAATCAAAGTTTTTGATAAAAAGGCTTAAATTTGAAAAACAAAAGCGGAAATCCGCCAAAAAGTGGAAAAATCTTATCCTTGTGTCTAACATAATATATTAAAATTTCTATAAAAAATGTTTTGTTCATACATTGTTATTTTATTAAACAATATTTATTTTCTGCTTAGATTTGAAATGTATTTCTTGATCAAAATCATTTTGATAATTTAATATATAACAACATGAGATTAGACAACATTTTTCAAAAAATAAATTTTCCTCTTTTGGTGAAATAAAATTGTTAGTATGTCTTTATTCTACTCTAATAAGTTAGAAAATCTAAACAGACATTTAGTAGTAGAAGAAAAATGCAGCAGTGTAACATATATAATTTAAATGTTCATTAAAATAAAATTATTACTAAATCAGTCCTAAGTTCAGATGAGTAAGTGGTAAAATAATGCAAACACAACTAGTTTAACCTAATGGTAGCAATATTTCGCCTTCTAACAGTAGACATGAATTTTTTTTAAATCAAAATATATTAAATGTATGTGGCTTAACAGGGGTCTGTTTAGAAGAAATTTGGGTTCGTTAACGGACCCTTCACAAAATATCTTTTCGTAAAAATGGGCCCTTCACAAAATATTTTAACATAAAAACGGACCCTTCACAAAATAATTTATCTTTTAATCGGACCCTTCACAAATTTGTTTATCTTCATTATTGTTTTGTTAATCGAATAAACCCTTCCCAGGAAGGAGGGGGGGGGAAGAAAGACAAATGTAAACGAATTCAATTTCGTCTTTGGCAGACGCTTCTTCCTTCATTCGTCCAAAATAAATAGTCTGCGTTCAGCAGTATAGGCTAAATACCAAATATTTGTATGGTGCATCGTTAATTTAGTAGCTGCAATTGCTGTTAATTTTTAAAAAGCAAATTTTTTTAATTATAATTTTACAGTGTTGAGCATAATCTTGTATGTCTTTATAATTTAAAACTCATTGAAAAAGTTTTTTTGCAATAACGGACTCTATTTGCACAAATTCACAAAAGCGGACTCTGGTTGAAAGAATGTGACGTAACACTTATTTTATATTCACAAATTACGAGCAATTTTTTCACAATTTTACAAAACCGGACCTTTCACAAAAAGTCTGGACAGACCCCTGCTTAAGTATTTCAGAACGGTTCAATTTTTATCCATGCAAAATACCTACAAATAAGTATAAGTAATTTAAATGATTAAACTTTACTCTATCTATTCCCTAAATAACTGCTTGATTACTAGTGTTCCTTAATAAGTATTAAAGTGAAAGTCAACAAATCATAGAAATTAGTATAATAACTGTAAAAATTCTTATCTCTGTAATACATTGGTGTTCCAAAAAGGACTTGTCAATTAAGAAGAAAAAATATAAAGTTGAAGGGAAAATTTTCTGTCCATAACAATGCGCAACTTTTGAATCGATAGAAATTGCATCATTAATGAAAAGTTTGAATACAGTCCTTTAACTAAAGCATGGCTGACAAAAATCATGATTAAAAAAAAAAGGAAAAAGACGAGAATTTAAAAAAAAATTAATTCTTTTTTTTTTTTAGATGCCAATCAATGCTCTTATAAGATTTGCTATTAAAACTGAACATATTTTACAATGAATATAACTAAAGTACTTAATATTGCTGCCTATTATAAATTAATCACTGAATAATTGAATCAATAAATTTTAGTTATTCTTCATTTAAGCTAAATACCTTAATAAATTTGCAGACCAAAACATAATTTTTCAGTTAATATAAAAGGAAGAAAAAATTAATTTAGATCAGTAAGCATTAAAATAAATAATAATTATTCCTGTCAGAACAAGTCTTTCCTCAGTTTTTAGATACATAAACTACAGATTTAATAAGTTTTTTAAAAGTATTTATATTTAAATAAACATGAAACTAAATTGGGAATTGAAATATGCCACTAAACAACAAATTATTTTACATACAGCCAATGTAAAGTTATAATTTCTAAGTTTCAGAACTCTTTAATCTATATTTAGTCTCTTTTTTTTTCCTTAAGTCAATTGACAAATAACAATCACATACTAAGGATTATACTAATAAATTTCAAAAAATAAAATATATATGCTTAACTTAAAGCACAGACATTTTTTTATTAAGTGATTTAAATTATTATTTTTAAATGATAAGTCATGCCAACTCTGCCTAGTAGCATTTATAAAATTTTCCAAAATTAATATTTTTTTAATTAATTAGTTAATTAATTCTAAAATTTTCCATTTTGCTGCTACAGCTGCATAATGAAAATAGATAATATAAGAGTCAATTGTGCTGCCATTTACCTGCTATTAACAATTAAAAATAAAATAAAAAGAACTAGTTAAGAGAAAAAAATCAATGATGTTAGACATAATTAAAATAAAAAAAGGTAAAAAAATATGTTTTGAATTTAGAACAAACCTTTGCACAGAGTGACATCTACTTAATTTTATAACTCATATGAATTTAATGTTACTTCATCTAATTTTATTTTCCCTGATATCATGAAAGACAGACTTTAAAGAGTTCACATTATTTTAACTAATAATTTAGAAGAAATTAGACAAACTTGATGTAATAAAAATATAATAATATTTATACATACTTGAAATAAATAAGTCCTTGCTTCTTCTAAAGTAGACTCTGGAGGAGCTGTCAATAAAGTAGAAGCTATTTTTCTTGCATACCAAGGTAATGTAGCAACCTATTTATGATATACAGAAAGAAAATACTTTCAGATAAATTAAAAAAAACTCTATAAAATTATAAAAGAATTGCATGTTAAAATGTTTTAATTCAGTTTAATAAAAGAGATAAACACATGAACATTTTTTAATAAAGATATAACATTTATGTACAAGAAAAAAAAAAAAAAGATAACCTAAATCATGTTTAAAATTTAAATTTAATTTCCATTTTATAAAAAAATATTTATTCACAAAATCTAAATAATAAATCAAACCTTGAAATAACTACTTTACTTTTAAATGACTTCAAAAGATTAAAAGTGAAAATCACCTCATAGCACCATCGACCAAGCATATAATGCAGAGATGGATCCTGAGGTTTTAGAGTAATTGCCTTGTCAACATGCTCCTAAAAAAATGATAAACATTCTTACAAACTTTTACTTACGACTGTATACATAAAATTTTAAATTTTTTTTTAGCATACTTTAAAAGTATATCCATTTATAATTCTTTCTTGCACTCCTACATAATCTCCCAGTGAGCCAATCGTTATAGCATACCATTTATGAACTTCAGGATTATCTTTCACTAACTCATACGCTTTTTTTGCATATTCATAAGCTAAAGAAATGGAAATTTTCATTAAAATAATTTAGATTACATATTATAATTTTTTTTCCTTTATAATGTTAAATTGCATGAGAAAAGTATATAAAAAGATATATATGTAATACACAATTAAAAGGAACAAATGAGATACACAAAGATGATAAAATAGGAAAGCTCAGATACAAAGAGCATGTTTGAAAAAAATTATAAGGTATCATTTGCAAAAGTTTTTTGTAAGCAGATCATTAAAAAAAAAAAAAAAAGAAAATGCACTTTTTATGCCACATTACTTTAAGTAGTTCTAATTTTAGAAATAAAATATCAAAAAACTTTTTTAAGCATTCCATTTAATTTACTATATGTTTTTAGTAAAATTAGTATTTGAAAAATAATGACTTAGTAATGCCTTTTTAATGCGTCATATACAGCTAAATTGTTAGGTTCCAGCCTGCTTAGCCTTATATTTAACTGGAATTAACCTAAATGTCAAATGAAAGTAATTTAATTTATCTAGATGTGAAAATCTTGCTAAATGCAATATACAACACAGCTTATCCAATACATAGTTGTGAAATTACTTTTGAGTAAAAATCAAACATTTTAATGTTATTTCAGAATCTTATACTCTGTTACTATAATTATTGTATTAAATTATCTCTGTTCAGTCTGCAAAAAAGGGTCTCATGAATCAGTGAATGGTCTATTAAAATTTGTGGAATTACCCAATAGACACATCATTAATTTTTCGTTAAAACAATGTAGAAAGTTTTTATTCAGGAAATAATTCAAAAGGGAATAAAGTTGATTTTACAAAAATTAATGCGCACCAAAAATTTTCAACCCTTAATGGATGCTTTTTCTTTTTCACGCAGAATTATTTAATCACTTTAATTCAAACTAAATATTCATAAGTTTCATTTCAAATTTACTTTAAATATTTTTATGAAAGCAATAGAATTGAAATTCAATTTATTGTTTTTCCTTTATAATTAGTATCAGATTTTAATCGAGAAGTATTTTGTAAGCTGTGTGCCAAATGATTATAAATTTTTTTAATTTACATGTCCTACGTAGTATTAAATTTGACTATAAAAATTAAAGAAAAGTTATAAAAATTCATGAAGACCATATTACTTCATTGTTCCTATTTTTATAATAAATTACATTTCAGATTTTTATTTATTAATTCTCCAAGGGCACCTGGGCAAAATTGTACATAAATTTTTTAACAATGCACCACTGCACTCAGAGTTTTTAAACACTTGAAAGCTATTTTTTTAAGACTAAGACTACTTACATCAAGACTTTTTTTTTTTTTAATATAACTAACTTAGATACCTTCATAAGCAAGTTCCTTTCTCTTTTCTGTGTCATCTTGACTTTGTACTACAATACCATAAAGATGAGTTGCTTTTGCAAGACGCCATAAAAAGTTGGCATTATCCATATACTGCAAAAAAATCATGATAAAACATTGGATAGAGACAATTTACTAAGCCATAAATAAGCTATATATTTTTTAAAAAAGAAAAAAACAAACAATCACAGGATAAAATGCCATAAGAATATATCTAGAGGTTTCAAGAGTTTGAATTTTTTGTTTCCAATGGCAAGATCAAAAGACAACTACAACAGCAACAAATGCAAAAGATTATGTAAAGAATGAAATGAAAAAATAAAAAAGAGAGCAAGAGAAACAACTTGCAAAATTATATGAATCCCAAAAGCCTTACCAGTAGTGGTTCATTATTATTATATAAGTAGATTTGATACTATACTCTCAAAGATGTAAAAAAAATAAGGAAATTTTTTTTTTTTTTTAGTCTCTATAAGAAATTTAAACATAAATATTAGTGTTAAAATGTTAGCAAACTTGCATGTTAGATTATTAACATTTTGTTCTTTGTTTAATATAATATTATAAATGTTTATTGCCATCATGTATTTTAAACTTATTAACAATTTTTAATATAAAATGTTCTTGTAAGAAGAATTTGGAATAGACATTTTATGGTATCTTTTTTCTAACATAAATATTAAAAAATAATTTTGAAAATCTACACAATAATTATTCTTCGCAACATTTTCGTATTTTTCTTCTTAGCAAAAACTGGAGTCTGAAACATAGGTAGCTCTGGCAAAGACTAATATGTAATGAAATGTAAAGAAAAGAATCATAAACTATTTTATAGTTTATACATATATATAATTTCAGGTTTGAATCCTTCAGCAATGTATAAAGAGAATACAAGTTAAACTAACAATAAAATTTTAACACTATTCACTTTGAGAGCAAGGTAATAACTGATCAGGGGTCTGTCCAGGCCGAATTTACTACCGTTTAGCGGTACCATCACAAATTCAATTTTAGGAAAAACGGTAGTTTCACAAAATACATTTTCCTAAAATTTCATTTTTTTATCCCTTCAGGAACGATAAATCCATAGTTTTGTGATGATTTTTTAATATAATTTTTAATTGTTAACAAATTATGTCAACATTTTCACAAAATTGGTACTTCTCAGAAAAACCTAGACAGGATTGCTGATTAAAAACAACAATATAAGAAAAGGCAGCTTGAGTGATTCCCAACTTGCTTGAGTGGTCAACATCAATCTAATAATGATAATACTACACTCCCCCCCCCCTCTTTTAGATGCTATGATGTCCTCAAGAGGTAAAGGATATGAAAGCATTTCAATAAGTCAAAAAATATTGCCACATTTAAAAAATAATAAGTTTTTTTTTTTAAAAAAAGGGGGGGTTTCCCCCCCCCCCCTTTTTTTTAATTAACAGAATGAGGCAAACACAAAGGATTAAACCTGTTACAACTCCCAGGGAAGCTACTAATTCATTATGTATTATAAGTTTATTTATTTGTTTATTATTATGTTGTTGTATTTAATATGTTTATTATTATGTTTTTAATTTAAAAGTACAATAGCCAAAAATTTTAGTTCAAAAATTTAGAGAGTGCTGTTACACTACACATTTTAAAACAACTAATATTATGAAAATTATATACCTCGTCTTTCAGTCCAAATATTTTATTATAAACAGACACTTTATCTGTTGAGCTGTTATCTAATAACGAATCTAGCTCTTCAAATAGAGCCTCCACATTATCTTTGTGCAATTCTTCACGAGATCCATTGATGCTGGCCCAGGCTCCTTCAATTTCTTCTCTATAACATAACAAAATACTTACTTTATAGACAAAAATGCTATTAATATTATTAAAACATGAGAAAATGTATAACATTTGCTTTGACAGAGAGGCATAATATGTTTGTATTAAATAAAAATAAATATAAGTCAGTGTTCTCCCGAGGAATAAAAAAAGGCAGGGAGCTTCTTTACAGAAAAAGGCACTTTTAGTTTTGCAAAGGCACTAATTTACCACCATTAAAATTTATCAAAATATGTTATGTCATATAATAACTGAATTTGAACCTTAATTTTTAAATTACCCTTTTATACTATTTTATGTGCATATTTCACAAAGTAATTCTCACTCATTATCAAAAGAACAGAAAAATTTTAAGCCTTTGAAAAATAATTAAAGGCAAGCTAAAAAACAATCTTTGTGTATAAATTTCCTTAAAATAAATAAACTAAAAAAAAAAAGGATTAGGTACCTGATTAACAACTTTCATGATTCTTTTTTATTTATTTTAAACTGAAAATTGTGAGAAAATAAACAATTAAAGATGCATTTTTTAATAAAAGGTATCTATTTAAAAAAAATAATGGTAAAATTTAAAATAATAAATTCATTAATATCCCCTCTCCTGAAATATAAGATCTAAATATCTCTGAGGCCAAATATTATGCAAATTTTAATCTTACTAAAAATAAGGAATCAAATTAAAAATTAAAGTTAAATAATTATCAGTCATTAGATAAATCAGACAGGGACTTTTCATTAAAACAGGTGGTAAGAAAACAACTCTTTCTTGAAAAAATGAAATAAAAAAGCAGTGTTTTTATGGCATGGCAGCTTATTTCTACAAAGAGGGCAAGGAGGATGCATTTGTAGGGATCAAAGGGCAAGCAGGATGGGCTACCCTTCTAAAAATATTAAGGAACAACACTGTAGAGGTATCACTTAAATCTACTTGAGAAGTATTATCAAATTAAAATCTCTTATGCACAGTATGCATAATTTCTAAAGGTTCACATTAATAAGAAATACTATAACTGTTTTTTAAAGTAATTATGACTGAATATAAAAATTAAGCAGTTCTTTTGCTCACATTATTTTATTTGTTAATTGAATAAGAAATCACAATTGTATTTAAAAATATTTTTCTTTTAAATAACGATTTCACCTAAACCGAATGGGTATCAAGCTTAGAATGTAATTTAAATAAATAAAATTTTTTATTATATTATTTCAGAATACATATTTCATACATCTATCAGAGAAAACATATGTAATATGTATGAGATTAAAAATTGACTAACTTATTGATAAAATAAAAGAAGACAAAATCGTTTTATTGTTTTTTTTTAAAAATTCACTTATTCAGTAAAATATTATTGAAATAAATTGCACATAAAGTAAATTAATTAGTCAAAAGATTTCGATTTAATAATATTAATATTTCAAATATATAAATGCAAAAGGAAGCAAACAATTATCGTATAGATAGTACAAATAATATTGGTCATTAGCAAGAATATGAGCAATGATATTGACAAAAGCAATGATTCAGAATTATTAAAAGTTACACAAGTACACCTTTAATTGCACACGTTTAAAATAAATTATAAATAAAATGCTTTTTAATTTCAGAATTAATTTAAAAACTGAAGGAGAATACAAAATGTAGCAAATGAGATAAATGTTAACCATGTTAGCAAGGATGAATTTTTTTTCTCCCTATCAGTGTTGGTAATATGCTAATACAGTTTCATGCAGTTAGTTAGAAAATGTGACTTGGTTTTTTGGGGTTGGATAAATCATCATAAATTAGAATAATTTTTTTCTACTAGTGTTGGTAATATGCTAATACGATTTCAAGTAGTTGGAAAACCATACTTGGCTTTTTGGGATTGGAGAAAATCGCAATAACTCTAGGTATATAGTAAAAAAAATTAAAGCAAAATAGATATAAATTGTTCTAAAAGACATAATCACCATAAGGAATATTCAACTTACGTATCTGTAAAATCAAAATATTCTTCTTCATCATCAATACTACTAGTATAACTATAGTATTTACTAGGAGGAGTGGACGAATTGACTAAATGACTTTTTTTAATCGGCGATCTTGTTATGTTTTCAGAGCGAAAACTTGCTGATGACTTTAATTCTTCGATTTCTCGTCTCAGGCTATCAATAGTGCCAGATAGTTGATGTAATTCACGAGTTACACATCGATTTGTTTTAAAATAATGGTATATTCCGCTGATTCCCAAAACAACTCCAGCTCCTAATGCAGCAAGATAACCAATTCTCTCAGCTCTTAAAAGAGCATCCATTTTAAGGATTAAAATAGAAATCAAGTAAAAAGAATTTATGGATTCATTACTTCCTTAAGACAAGAAAAATAAAAAAGTTTTGTTTTTGTTTCGTGATCGTGATGGAACTTTTGATATTTATGAGCGGTTGCGGTTAATTGTTTTAAATTTTTTCTTCTTCTATTTTTGCATTTGAATCTAGTAGCTCAATATTTTGCTGTCAGTTTTCCCACTAAGAAAGTAAAATTAATTATAAATCATTAATTATGAAAATAAAAATATATCAGAGTCTTATCTTAATAAATTCTAAAAAAATCCTAATAAATCCTAAATGCATATGTAGTCTTGTATGTAACAAAAATAAGCAGCCAAAATTTATAAGTTTTCATTTCCAAAGAATTAAAAACCGGATATTTGTTTGAAAGTTAAAAACTAATGTAATTAACTTTAATTTTAAGCACTGTAATTCTTAAAACAGCATAATTCTACGACATTTACAATATTAGTTTCATCATTTTTTGGTGTTAAGAAACTATACATATAAATCAAAATAATGGAACCTGTAGTAACTTCTCGGCGAAATTTTAATTTGGCCCCTCAACAAGAGTTTTTAATGCAAGGTAGCATAATGGATACGTCGTGTGAAGTATTACTGCATCGATTAAGAGGTTTATGTGACAATGCTGACGAGAATCCTGAGACATTTCATGACTATGAGATGGTGTTTCAAATACGTGAGTATGTTGTGGACTAAGAAGAGTATATTAATTTGACGAACTTCTTTAAATTAACATTGTAATTTTTTAAAAATATATTTATAAGACTTAACTTTTTTACTCTATTTGTAAAATCCCAAATGATTAATAAACCAGGGTTGGCAAGTTTTTGACACATGACGGTTTTTACCAGTTTATACCATGGTTTTTACCGTCATGTCAAAAACCCCTCTGTCAAAAATGTCAAAAACCCATAGTTTTGGTAAAACTGTATTTTTGAGTTTAACTGCTTGTAATTTAAAATTAATTCATTTTAGTCAATAAAATTAGAAAAAAAGTTGTTAAAAGATATTTAACAACAGATTCTTGCATTTTCCCAACATGATTACATCAAAACATACTATTTGAAGTAAAATATTAGGATACTAAAAAAAAATTTCAACATTTCCGAGCATCATTTTGTTTGGCATATTACATTACTGAAGAATGTCAAGTCATTCTTGACTTAGAGTTTGTTAGTAGTTACAAGTTTTGAAAGTTTTGTTTAGCTTATTTCTAATATTTAAGAAGTGCCAAATTTTAAATTCTTTTTAGTTCTTGAATTTATTAATAGCTCCAAGCTTTGTTGTTTGTTTGTTTGTTTGTTTGTTTGTTTGTTTATTTCTAACAATTAAGAAGTGCAAAATTTTGAATCCTTTGCAAATCAAGCTATAATGATAAAAATAAGTATCACTATTTTCAATAAGTAAATTACAGTATTACTGTATGAATGTCTATCCTTCTACAGGAATGCATGTATATAGTTGCAGAATCAATAGCAATCATTTACAACATTCATTTATAAAGGCAATTATGTGAAAATAATATATTGTCCGCTACATGCCATAAATTTAAGAAAACAGTAGGTTTTTGACGGTTTTTACCGGTAAAAACACGGTTTTTACCACTGTCATGTCAAAAACCCAACCCTGTAATAAACATATAATTACACTTACATCTTATTATTACACTTATTTACGAACAGGTGGATCTACTGGAACACCTTTGGTTGTAAGAGCCAGGCAAGCCTTAGATCATCCTGAAATGCCTTGGTAATATTTATTCTATTATATAGATTATAGTCATTAATCATGCAGAATGTATACATTTATTAATTGTGAGCTATGTTTTCTTTGCTAAACTTGGCACATTTAAGTGTTTATCAAGCCTTGTTGTAGTAACTCTTTGATATTGTGCGTGTGTTAAATCATGTAGTTCAGAATACAGTTTTTTGAGGGATATTTCGGTATCTTGATTATGCCAACTACAATTGCCACTTCAAAAACAGATGTTTGTCGATGGGTGTCTATGAGTTATATCCTTGAAGTTGGTACTATTCTGTGATGTTTTTTTTTTTTAGTTTCTCACAGCTGCTGCCCAGAAATTGCCAAAACTAGGCGATTATTCTGCCACAGATCACAATACGGAAATCTTCACGTTTTTCTCTTGAAGTTTATTTCTTATGAAAGTTTATTTTATAATGTGTCTTATTTTTATTCTCTGACTGATTTTTGAACAAAATTTTTCTGTCATCCCATTTGTGCATTGTATGATTTTCCTTATAAACAAGTGTAAAAGAAAATACATCTATATGCATCTGATATTGATTTGTAGAGTGTCATAGAATATATTTTATTGTTCTTTAATATTTGATATGAAATGGTACTCTGCATGTTCTTTTTAGAAAATTTATGTTTAAAAAGTTTTTTTCTTAAGATTTTATTACTCTATATCTGTGATTGAACATACAAGGAATAATTCTAAAGATTAGATTTTAGATTTGTTGCCTTTATTGTTAAATTACTTTTGACTTCCTAAATATAATGATATTTTCAAGTTGTTGTTTTTATTGTTGGTAAAATTATCCTTGATTAAAAAAGTAAAATATTCGTTATGATAAAATAACGTGCATGACTTCTCTTTCATATTATTTCCACATGTAATTTTATTTTCAATTCTACTTTAACAAACTAACTTTTATTATCTAATTATAATAATTAAAATATGGAAAGTATCAATTATACAGAAATTTCTAAAGCATTTACAAATGTTTTGCATATTAGTAATTTGAGTAAAATTGAAACTATTACTTATGGAAACTCTAGTCTTATATTCAAGAATCAATTAAAAAATCATGTAAACTTCTCAATTAATGAATTAAAAATGATCATAAATTAAAAATAAATTCATGATTATATAATAAATTATAAATCAATTAGAAATATGTTATAATTTTGACTGTCCTGCTGTTTTGTTATATCTCTAATTTATTTTATATGTATTTATATTTTAACTTTACATTCTATATTCACTTCTGTTATGATTAAAGTTCTGTTATGATATTTTAGGCATTTGAGGTATATAGGTCAACCAGAAATTGGAGATAAAAACAGAGCAACAATGATTCGTAGTTGCATCGATATAGATACATCCAGCAATGTAGTTCAATTCCTTAATGAGCTTGGATTCAGGTAAAAAACTTTTTCTTTAAGTAGAACTGTTTCAATGTTATACAAATAATGAACATCTATAATTTTTCATACTTAATATATGAACTATGCCAAATTCAGAGTTGCTGAAGTTAAAAGAGGTTGTTGTAGGTGAAGTTTTGTTCTTTGAATGTCTAAATTAATTAGATATATTGTGATTGAAAATTTGAGTTAATTTGAAAATTGCATTAAAAGAAAGTTAGCTAATCTAAATTCATTGTAATTAAATTTGTTTTTCTGTCAAGAATAATAATCTACTGCATGATTTCAATTTTCAGATTAGATTATGAATTTGTGCTGAAAGGTTTTATGTTCCGTAAAGGAAGAATGAAAGTAACAGTTGCTAAAGTCTGTCGTGTAAGTTCTAATGTTAAATTTTATTTATTATTTTTTTTAAATACAATAATTACTGTTTTAATTTCTTATTATCTTTATTTTCTTATCTTTAGCTGTTGCAGCAAAATAATCCAGACAGCATTGAACCAGTTTCACAATCATATTTAGTAGAACTGAGTGTAGTTGCTCCATCTGGACAAGTAAATATTTTTCTTTCTTGTAATTGTTATTTTTCTATATTTTCAAACGAGTCTGTTCTTTTTTTAAATAACTTAGTTTTATCCATTAACTTTATAAAATTAACATTTTGACTTCTCTTATTGCAAAACATATTGTCCTGTTATGTTCACACAATACTATTCAGTGGATTTTCTTTTTGCCAGTTTTATCAGTTCATGTTGTTATGTAAATGTAAGCATATGTTACTTTATGTATATTTGAGATGTTTTGTAAACAAAATTTTAGGAGATATCTGTAAATATATATTTTTTTCCCCTTTCCACTCTAAGGAGTTACAGCAAGAATTGAAAGTTTGTTTGATGGCCAAAAGTAGTACTTAAAATGAAGGAATTTAATTTTCTCTATAGTTGGCATAAAAAAAAAATGATTCTTACTATTTTTGGCATAAGTTATTATGCACGTTCTTTGACTTCATCTCTGTAAATCAAATATTTTCAATCTGAAAGTCTTGGAAGCAATAAATATCTTATGTAGGCAGGTAATGTCATAAAGTATTTAATTAACAATTCACTTTTGTTGCAAATCCAAGAATTTTAGTGTAAATTTTATTATAACTAACAATGTTTTAGTTAAAATAAATTTGTTTAAATTTAAAATAATTTGCTACTTCACAGCATTGAAGAAATGATTAAATAGATTGACTGGACAAAGCTATACCATCCAATAGTGATTGACATTTAGGTGCAAAATGAAAATTTTAATTGTAAATACTATGTTATGCTTATTATACATTGTGTTGTGCTTATTAATAATAAAGTGGCTTTTTCAATTTTTTTTTTAAAAATTTGCTTGGAACAATTTGATTAACCTTACAATCATTTAATTTATGTCGAACAAAATATCTCCCTTTCAGTGTTTTTATTATTTATTTGATTGTTAATGAACTAAATTATTAATTCTGGTCATAAATTGCCAATTATCAAAAGTATTAAATAAAAGTTATTGGTTTTTGTAACCATTTTTTATATTGATTTGTTATAATCTAGTTAAAGTAATCATTATGGGAAAATTAATTAGTAATTAAAGATCTCAACTCTAGAGGTTTGATATAGAAGACTTAACAAAAAATGACAAAGATTAAAGAAATTTTTAATTTTTTTAGGTTAAGCATTCTACATAAAAGTTCAAAAGTTGTTACTTGGTCAAAATTATGGAAACACTTCTATACTAACTAATTTTTTTTCTTCATATGATTTAAGAAGTTCTCAGAAAATTATTTTATAATTTAAGAAGTGTTTAGGTCATGTGATTTTTCTTACATATCAATAAAGTTTAGATCTTTTATAGGTTTTTTACAACCAGCAATAAATTACGAACAGAAATTAGAGTTTTTGAGCATCTTATGCCAGAAAATGTAGCAATAAGCTTGTAACTTGAATCAGTTACTTTGGTTATCATATGCTATAACTGCACAAAAATTGGTAAACTTAGCTTAAATATTCATAAAATTATGAACATTTCTGTAAAAAAAAAAAAACTAATATTTTTGACTTTTGTTTTCATACTACAACTACAGATACAGTAATTTTTTTTAAATTTTAAAATCGTATTTGGTAACTTAAAAAAAAGAGAGAGAGAGAGAATCGGATTTGAATATCGGGAAAATTTAAAAAGTTTCTAGCAATTTTTTAAGCAGTATTTATGAATTTGGAAAGAAAGCTTTGAATGGTTAGGAGTTTTCAACAAATTTTATTTTTCACTAAACAAGTTGTATTAAAAATGACATTATAGAGGACAATTGACATTATATAGCATTATAGAGGACAATCCCTATTAACTTGGTTTTATTTCTTATTGCCATCACATTTTGTTGTCTAGACCATTATTTACTATATTATCATTTGTTATTAAATCTTTTTATATGATACAAAAGGAAAGCCCCATATCATTTAGAGCTTTCAATGCAAAAAGTACAAATGCTACTTAGAAAATTACTGAAAAGATATTCAAATCGGATTATTTTGGTAAGTTACCAAACATGATTAAAAAAAAAATTATGAAACTTTTTTTAAATATTTTCTGTGTGCACAATATGAAATAATTACTTTAACTACTCATATATTGCTTGGTATTTAAAAAAATGTTTTTTAAATGATGATTTTATTATTAATTAAAAATAACTCTAAAAAATTTGTTTAATTTTATTGAATATTTCTGCATTTATAATAAGAAAATATGCAACAAAAAATTATTTTTTATAAAATTTTCATATCTCCATAAATATTTAAGCTAAGCTTACAAAATTTTGTGCAGTTATTGCATATGATAATCAAAGTAATTGATGTAAATTACAAGCTTATTGCTATATTTTTGGCATAAGGTGTTTAAAAAAAACATTTCTCCTTACAGTAGTTGACACAAAATGTATTTTTATGATGTTATTTATCGACTAAAATATGCTTAAGTTTGTGTAACTGAAATTTAGAAAAACCCCAGTGCAAAGAGGCTGGTTTTCATCTGGACAGTTTCAGTTTTATTTGTAACTAAGTTTTGTATCTAAATAACACACAAAAGAAGTTGTATTTATTTGAACTGTAAAAAAATTTAAATGCTTGCAACATTCACTTCCAAAGCTGCACAACTACTAAAATTTATTTCAGATAAGTATAATTCTTTAAAATAAATAATGTATAGATACATGTTAAGCATTTTTTTTCATGTTTTTCAGGAAGCCTTGGCTGATGAAATGAAAGCCTTCTCTGAGCAGTTGAAACCGTATCCTTTATAAATGTGTTTTTCTAGTAGTGTTGAAATAAAATTTTGAAGCACACTTCTTTTAATGTATCTAGCAGAATTTTTCCATACTTACCCGGAGGTGCGGAATGTGTCCGATCGTGCGAACCTGGTGCGATGGAAATTTAAGCGGTATTGGGGTGTACGGTAATCTTAGGTCAAAAATCTGCAATCTTAGCGTGAAAAAAATATTGCTACAGAATTTTTTAACATAGAAAAAAATATAGCTTCAAAAAAACTTTCCTTGTAAAAAAAATGTAATGAAAAATTATGCCTGAAGAAAAAAAGCTTACAAGAAAGAAGAACAAGGAGTGCTGTGATGGAGAAGTGTGTAAGAATATAATTTTAACATTTATTTTTAGTGTAGTAGTATCTTATACAGTTTAAAAAATATTGTTACTGTGACTTGGAAAATCCATTTAATCTTATTCCATTCTATTATTTCATTACATTATAATTTTATATGTTAAAGATATTGCTCTACAGAGAAATTATTATGAATATTTAAAAGATCCGGCTAATCTTTCAATAGATATACCAATGTCCCTCATCAGTAGGGTATTGCTCACAAAGCTTTACAGTACCTTAGTAACTGTAAAACAAGATATTTGCAATACAACTCCTTTATCATATCATTAACCATTTATGTTTTTTTCTGCTATAGAATTGCAAAACTGATATTGGTATATTTCTGTTTTACATTTAATTTTAAAAACAATATCTGAAATTGATTGCATCTTCTCATTTTTCCAAATATTGTACATTTGGACATTATAAAATTTGCTTTTAAAAAACATCAATTACCATACTGAAATGTGACATTTTTTTCGATACTTTTAGTTGTTTTTTTATATTCTTTTAGTAGTACAGTGAGAAATACTTTTATTATTCTTAACAGAATTTCAGATTGGTACAGTTGGATAAGTTTGATCATCGACGTCTTCAGCATGTTTGATACAGAGCTTTTTAGTTTTAACCAGCTATTTCCTTAATGTGGTTTTCACTGTCAACATTGTATTACCATCAAAGCTGAAAATGGAATGTCTAATCATTCAGAAACTGACTCTTGCATTTCATCTGATTTCATGCAGAAACTGTTCATCAGCTTATATCATATTATGGTGTGATCAAGTTTATTGCACTTCCTAGAAGGGTTAAAATTAATTCATGTATTTAACAGTTTGTCATAAAATCCGTTTCATGTATTCAAGCACTTGTTTTACTAATTTTTTTACATGTAAATACAAAAATATAATAAGATTTCAGGGTGATAATTATTTATAACATATATTTGGTATAAAAGGTTATCATACTGAAATTTTTATCTTCATTAAATTTTACTATGTTTATTTATTGAAAGTGTTTGTATTTTCTTTCTTTTTCTCTAAATACAATGAAATTAGTAGTATGCAGCCAGCTCCAATAAAATTGGTGGATAGAGCTAGTAATTTTTTTTCCCTTTAAAAAAAAGTGCGTTGTCTATAAAAGTATTAAATATGTGTGTGATCCTTTTTATTCCCAAATTTTTTTTGTTATTCATAAACTCTGCATTTAGACAATTAGCAACTGTGAACATTTACTTTAGTAAAACTAAAGAATATGCTCTGGTAACAATTTTTCTCACTGTTCCTATAGTATTACTTTTTTGAAGAAAAAAAAAAGTTTATATCAACATGGTAAAAGGAATTTTTAATTGTTTTTTCATACTTAAAAATTTTTTAAAAATCATTTTAAATTCTTTAATTACTATTTTTGAAAATCTCTTCAAAAATACTTACCTATGTCAATAGTAGCAGCCAGATAATGTGATACAGGTGGAACAAATATACTTCAATGGCGTTACCGCAGTATGACTTAGTCTTTCACTGCACCAAAAATAATGAGATATACTGAAATAGATAATACTGTTGCTCAATTTGTATGTCACGTTCAATATAAAGCAGTGGTCCTAACCTATGGGTCGCGAAGCATATTTCTTTGGTCGCGCTGAGTCGAACCAAAAAAGTTAGTAATACCAACACCTAGAAGAAGTCATTGTGGCTTACTCAGCCTAATTTTGACTTTTTTTTGGGTTGCGACATGAACATATTTCTCAAATTTGGGTCGCTGCTTAAAAAGGTTAAGAACCACCGATATAAAGCATTGCCAGTTTCAAGGCAAATGAATTCGTTAATTTAGAATCGAAGCAGCAAGAGGCTGGAGCAAAAACTGTAAAAGAATAAGATGGAAAACTTCGGCCTACCTAAAACTTACTGTAGATTTTGAAGATAGTATTGTGCAGTTTCAATGCCATGTCATTGATTTACAGACAAGATATGCCCTTGAATTGAAGAATAATGAAAACATAGATTACATCCAGCTGTACTTTGATGGGCCACAGAATTATAATGTCATTTGAAAGGGTGAGAAAGAGGTGAAAATTTTGAATAAGAAAAACATAACACTATTATGCCGTGCATTACAGCAGACAGCCAACATTATTTAAGCCTTAAATCTCCTAATGAGGTGAACCTAGATTCTAATCCTAGCGAAAACTGGTGATACGAAATCCACATCTGGCTTGCACCGACCACAGTGCTGATGCAAAATATCCTCAGTGCTAGACGGATAATGGGTTAGAGTCCCCTTGCCGGCAGGTTAAACCTGGGAGCCTTTCCTCTTCATGCAACGTAAATGTTAGTTTCATCAAAAAGGCTTCGCCTAAGGCAAATTCTTCCTGATACTTGATCTAGGAGTTCTCTTGTCACCTGTACTGGGTTCAAGGGTACAGAGTTGAATATCGGTAGTCGAAACTCAAAATGTGGTTGGTTCTTCAGCAACGGTTATTAAAAAAAATGGCAGAAGTAACAACAAATCAAGAAGGTAAGTGCATTGAAACTTGTAGAATAAATATCTGTTGCTTGGAAAAAAAGTTTGTGACATAAGGAGTGATGTAACTTTTTGGATCATTTTATTATTTACTAGAGCAATTACAGGTACATATATGTATCTAAAAGTTTTAAATGCCCATAAAATATTAATTATTCACTATTTATTAGTTCTAATTTAATTTTTTTTGATATCATAAAATATTAGAAATGGGTTAACCTATTTACAACTTCTTTTCACAACAACATTTTGAGAATTTGGGGTGCAATCTAAAATCCCATAAATAGGATATGCATATATTTTGGCACACTTGTGCAATCAAATATTTGATTATTTTATAAAAGTACCAAAGTGATTCTTCAGAGATAGAAAAAGTATGTTGAAGTTTCCACCAATCGGCTAAGTCACTGATAAAAAATCTACTCTAATAGGTTCCAATTACTATTCTAATATTAAAATTTTTGTCTAAAGTGAACATAATAGTTCTTTAATATGTCAATAAACTTTAATGCAAGTAAGTGAAAATTATTTATTGTTAGTAAAAAAAAAAATGTATATGCAATGTTTTATCAAATTCCATACATTTATCAACCTGTACAGTTAATATTTAAATTACACATATCTAAATTGAAATAAACCATTTCTTAAATATTGTTTTTCAATAGACTAATTTAATACACATCAGCCATATTGTCTTCTAAAAACTTTTTGTACAAAGCCATAAACTTGGCCACAAAAGCTTCAATGTGATAAATAGCTTTACTCCCAAGTTGCAATCGGTGTTCATAAAAGGCTGCATGTTGTGTCACTTCACCTTTCAATTGTCCATCACAGTTGTTCACTAATTCTTTCAGAAGACCCTGAAACATGGACAGCTCATTTATAGAAGTTCAAATTTAGGAGAAAATATTTGGAAGTATCAAGCAAGAAATAGTACTTTTAAGAAGCTTACCTTAAAAATTATATCAGTTGGAATAAGATGAGAGATAAGTTCATATATCCTTGCACGAACTTCGGCTAACCTGAAATATAAAATCATAATTTAGTTTTTTTTTTTAAATCAAAATGTTTATGTTGAAAGTTTTAATATAAAAAGAGTACAAATAAATGTTATGCTATGTAAAATGGCTCAAAATATATTTAGAAGATGATTCCTTAAAATCTAAAAACTACAAACTCCCTCCTATGCTCACATAATAAAGTCTCTATATCCCTTTCCCCTTTTTTTCATTACCTTTGATTGCAATAACCAAATTTTAAAAATTTAACATGAAGCAAAATTTCAACTATTGCTACAACTGTTACTCTTGTTCTCTACGTTTTTTTCTCTCTGTATATGTATGATTCAGTGTTCTCCCTAAGCGTTCTTTTAAGAGCGGCCCACCCTGACTACTTTTTGATCGCCATAAACATGTCCCTTTGACCTTTTTGTGAAACTAAGCGGCAATCTCTTAAAAACACTGCCTTTTTATTCATATTCAATTTTTAAATAAATTCACTGTTTAAATAATAATTACATGCTGGTAAAATTATCTCTGTTTATAGGTTTAGTTCTGATTACTAGCACAAATATTTACTTTGTTAGGATTATTCTCAACTGGTTAAATGTTTAGAAGAATTTTTTTGGGAGGGGGAGGGGGATATAATTAAAAAAATTTTTTTTTAGTAAATACCTTTTTGTAAAAAAATATATATATATACCCTTAAATGTTTATTTTATGTTATTAAAAATGTTAGAAAAAAGCTTTCAAGCTATTTATTAATTCAATTTTTGCTAGTTTACTTTTTTGAAAGAAAAAAAAAAGTAAGCACTGAGATTGCTATTTCACATGCTTTAATTATTTTTATAAACTAAAATTTTTATCTTATTTTGATAATGAGAAAGAATTACTTTTTGAAATATATACACAATATAATATAATAGGGTAATTTATAAATTTTTGAAGATACAATTCAACTATTACATCATAATTTTGATAAATTTTTACTATATTAAATTATTGTCCTTTCAAAACTCAAAGTACCCTCTTCAGAGAGGAAGCGATTTGCCCTTTTTTATTCCTATGGAGAACTCTGTATGATTCTATGTAATTGTAACAGTAGTTGCCTTTTGATCTTGCAATTAGGAATAAAAAATATAAACTAAAATAGATGTTTTAATTTATTTCATAAATTTTAAAACTGACGAAATATTTTCCCCAAATTTAAACTTTAGTTCAAATTTGAAATGTAATTTTTTTAAAAATTTTTTGTTAAAATTGTTTAAAAAAAAAAAAGAAAAATAAAGGGATTTAAAGGTTTTACAGAAGCATTATTCAGCAAAAATAAGCAGATTATAAATTACTTCCCCCATTTATGGTGCTAGAGTAAAATATAAACAGTTCCTTATCAATGTTAATGAAGGATCTCAGAAAGTAATCAGTAGACCATTATTGTAGCTCAAAAGGGAAGTTTACAATAAATTTCATTGGAAAAGATTTAAATTGTGCTGACACAATTTTACCTTTTAGGACTCTGTTCTTGAACAATGAAATTAGCTGTATCTCTAAGAAAAATTTCCCAATCAGGTTCTACAATGTCTTGATCACCCGAAAATGGATACCTAAAAAAAGGAAAAAAGTAACAGAATTTTTTTCATGTAATTATTTAAAAATACCAATAGAGTCTAATCTGTTGCTTAATAAAATATTGTTTTTAAGGACATGACTAAAGAAGTTTTCCAATATGCGTTACACATTTCTAGATTTTTGTGCATACTAAGGTTCAGGACAATAACTTCTTGAATAGATTTTTAAAAATTCACAGTTCAATATTTTAAAATTATAATAAATTTTTTTAATCAGTTTGAGCATTATAAGTACAAAAATATCATGTAATGAAGTTCGATTGGAATTTTAATTTTGCATACATTGCACTTTTTGAATTTACTACATTGAAATATCAGCTAATAGAAATTTTTTTTTTATTGATTGCAAGATAATTAAGTAAATAATTAATTTCCATGCCATTTGATATTCATTATAAACAGCTTAATAATAAAAATGAATTGATATTGAAATTAATAATTTTTAGCATCAAATTAAAGGACTCTAACTAACATATCAAATACCAGAATAATTACATCGAACAAGATTGTGAAAAAAATGACTATCTAGTTCATTAATAAAACTTTTAATCTTTAATATTAGTTGAACACATAATAATTTTTATACAAGATTCTCTGAGAATTAAATTTGACTAGCACTCAATATATAAAATAATTAATTGATCAAAATAAAAACATGATTAAAATAATGTCAATCGAAGCTGCTTTAAAAATTGAAAAAAACATTATACATACTGTTGGACTCTACAAGCCTCACACATTAAAATAGCTCTTCTCAAATTCCGGTTACTTTTCTCAGCAATTCTTTGAGCAAGTTCAGAGGGTAACGAGAGGCACTCTTTTCGGCAAATATTTTGTAATATGGTTGAAATCTACAAAAGGGAATAAATTAAATTTAAAAAAAAAAAAATCTTTCAAAAAATTGGATAAGAAGGAATAAGAAATGTGTGCTGATTTATGAACCTCATTTATAGTGGGAGCTCCAACTCTTATACCAAGACATCTGCTTCTGATAGCGGGTATAACTTTACTACTTGAGTTACAACATAGGACGATGCGGCATGTTGTCATATACTTTTCCATAGTTCTTCTGAGTGCATGCTGAGCATCTTTTGTTAGTTTATCAACTTCCATTAAGACAACAACTATATAAAGAAACATTTTATAGATGTTAAAAATATATATCGAATAATGAAGAATTAAAACTGGCATAAAACACATATAATGTTTATAAAGACTTTTTATTGCAGAATAATGTAACTATGCATTTCGGGAAGAACAGGCTTCTCATCAGATGATAGGACACAATAAAAGAAAATAAGGAAGGTTGAAGAATGAATGAGGGGAAAATTCAGCGAAATGGAGTAGAAGAAGTTTAAATTAGGACAATATCATTGTAAATCCGATATCATTGTAAATGTATGTTTGAAATTTTGTATTTGAGTAATCACTTATTGCGATTTTCAATGCACCAATTTTATCTTTAACACACATTTCCGCATAATTTTTCAAATATGAGAGATTACATTGTGACAAGCTCAAACCGGGACAATTCCAGCTTAAATTTAAGTCATTTTTCTTTTACACAAAGTTCTTCAAATTTCAGCAGTTTACTTTGAATGTCATTTTTGACAGCATTCATTGGTTTTTAGACAATTTTTAAGTTGCTATTCAAATTCTGATATTCTCATAATTGATTTTCATGTGACTTGTCTATTTGTCAGAAATTTTTTTTCTTCCTGAAAAATAGTTGTATTTTTATAAATTTTCGTCACCATTTTTCTGTAAATAACAGCTTTCAGCTGGATTTTTTCTTCTTTTTTTGTAAGAAATAGTAGTCATTGTTGCCTCCCCTTGGTTTCAGCAGCAAATTGTCACATTTTAATCATCAGTTGAGGCCTTGTAATTCACAAAATATTTCATAAAAATGATTAGTTACTCTTTCAAAAGAAATATAAAAGCTCATACTTTCAACCTTATTTAGAGAGAAAAGTTTACTAGATTTACAACTTTAGTAAGCCTGTATATAACATTTCAATCAATTATGTATGGATCAAAAAAATACAAAGTTTAAAATCATATCAAATTAAAAGATTGCAATCTGCAATTTAAGAAATAGTTTTGTTGATGCAAAAAGTGGCTAAAAATCTGAATTAGAAGACTGAATTATAAACTTTTTTTAAAAAAATTCTTGGTAGTTATCAGGTATTCCTCAAAATACATTAAAATTAATTTTGAAACTAAAGATAAATCATGATTTTAATGAGTAACAAAAGATGCGGCAGATATGTCTTCTAAAAGACATAAGTTATCAATTTATGATATGAAATAAAAGGGTAGGTTCTTTCCATTGTGCTGTTTAAATAGATGATGAAACTATTGATTACAAAAGTCAATCAGACAGATGATCAATTAAACAGATTTCAGTTATTTATAAGAATATCGTACTGTGACTTAAAAAAAAAAAAAAATTAGTTTTAGATACTTGAAACATTTACAAAAAGGATTAAAAAATTATGCAGTGAAGGTAAATATTTATCAATTTCCCAATGGAAAAAAAACAAACAAAAAAAAAGCAATTTTTTCAATTTAAAAATTTATCTGTATTCCTTCTATACAGCTGCAAAAAATTATTTTTAAATTTAAAAGAAACATAACTTTTACTAAGAGAGCTTTACATTGATATTTCTTTTTACCTTGTTCTTTTTTTTTAAAATATTTGCTTACTTTTTCTTTTCTCTTTCCCTTTTCATTTTATATTTTCAACTTAATTCAGAAATATCGAAACTTTTTAGTCAACTTTACCTTTAAACTCTTTTTGTGTATGGCTGTCAAGTTGATGTGTTTGGGCAACTGTTTTTAAAAGTTCTTGGATGACAACACGATCATAGATACCAACATCACTGAAACAAAAGAAAATATAACATTTACAATTAGTTGAAAATGAAATAAAATAAAAACATTCTATCATGAAAAGTTTTTAGCGCAAAAGACTTAAAAATCATATAATACTATGGCTGTTAAAATATTAACCTAAAAATTTTACCACCTCATACAATTACAGGAGTAGAACAGCGTCATATTCGATTTTGAACAGAAAAACGTGTATTGGAACAAATAAATTCGGGTTTTGGAGCAGATAGGAGTGAATAATTTCTTCATTCATAACAGCATAATGCTTCCAACAATTAGGATTAATAGCACAGAAATTTTCATTTTATATCATAGTTATTACTGGAGTTCTTCCTCTCTGAATAGGACACTGAGTTTTGAAATGGCACTCATTTAACATCATAAAAATCTATCATAATGTGTAATAACTGATCTTTATCCTTGGCAATTTTTAAATAACTCTCTCATACTATTTCATGTGCATATTTCAAAAATTAATTCTCTCTCACTATCAAAATAAGAGGGAAATTTGTATTTTTTAAAAATAATTGAATGCTAAAAACCTTTGCTGTAGCCATACTCGAATTTCATTATCTTTTTTGGTAATCTATCACCCTAATTAAACAAAACATTCCAGAAAGTTGGCTGCCTGTTGAAAACTTTTCTCTCTCATTAATCAGAAGTAGCCAACTGAACGCTTTGACCAATCAAGGCCAAGGATAACCCAGAAAAATAAATTCTTCAAAGCAAAATGATAAATTCAATCTTCCTTCTTTCGTATTCTTCGAAACAGTATATGTTCTAATATTTTGCACATTTTCGATTATTTAAGACATTTTAACTAAGAGTATAATAAACAGATTAATATTAAATAATATTTTTAATCTTTTGAACAAAAGATCCAACTTTAATATGAAAATTTCTATTAAAGATATCTAAATACAGTACGAATTAAATTTTCATGTACCTGGGATTGACTTCAATGTGGTAGTTACTTGCAATAGTTATGACTTCAACTTTCCGCCTGGAAGGAGTTTCAAATACTTGATGTTCTATTTTTAATTTTTCTACACCAGCTCCATAAAGTTCCCGCAACAGGCACATAACTCTTGTTTTCTTACCAGCTCCAGGTGGTCCATATAGTAAAATGTGTGGAAAATCACCACTATTTACCTATTAAAATATAAATTTACAGGGCTACATAAGTCATAAATCAAAAGAAAAAGAAGGGAATTTTCCAATTGATATCTGCATCAAAATTATCTTTAAGTTTTGATGATCACACACAGGGAGCAGCAAGCAAAATACTTAAAATATAACAATAATTGGAGCAAACAGGAGAAATTCCTTCTGTATGGTACCTATTTGCACAAACTACCACAATTAAGATTCGAAAGGATTCTTTTTACTTAAATACAAAAAAAAAAAAAAATGCAGTGGTTTGGTTTGCAGAGGTTTAACTAAGTGTTAGGAGACATTCAAATATCATATAAGCATAATTTTGCCAACACTGGCCTCCCCTTTTGATAGAAGAAATAACCAAATTCTTCACCCTCCCATTTTAATGCTTGAAAATTCGCAACAACTTTGCTTGAATTTTCACTGCACTAATTTTGAACTTAATTCTAACAAAGATTGCATTATTAAATTCAAATAAAAGTGCAAGTTTGCATAAAACAAATTCTATGTTTCCCTTCATTTAATAAGAATTTTGACAATACATTATATATATAGGTAGGAATCTTTACTGTTCAAAACTGACCACTGAAATTTTTTTTTCTTCTAAAAATCCACAACTTTTTTTTTCCTACCAACTTTCAAAAAATTTTGAAAATAAAACGATTTCAATACTTTAAATGCAAACATTGTTCATTCTTGTCAACCAAAACCAAGCAAATCACGAACCCCCTCCCCTTTTTGGGTGCTTATATATTATTTAAACAGTCCCTTATACCCTTTGAGTTGATTTCCTTTAGACAAGGCTTTATAATTTCTTGCATGTCACTGGCCAGTTGTCAACTAAATTAGATTTTGATGCTTTTCAATCAATAATAAATTCATTTCTATAAAATATATGCTGCCTGTGAGAAGATATTAATATTTTACAGACAAAAAATTGAATTCTTATTTGATGATCAAACTTACTAATTTTTTTAAATGAATTGCTTGTTCTTTATGATAATCTAATTGCGATAAATTTTTTGGACGATGTTTGTCAACCCAAAGACTTCCCATATTGTAATAATTTCAATACTACAAATTCAGAACTGTAAGAAACTAGTAGGTTGAGAAAATTTTAGCACAAAATTCTCTTTTGTTTATGTTCGGTTTCCCTCTGGTCAATTTTACAGTTAACGAATATGTTATTTATGAGTTGAAACAGAAAACCGATCTTTTAAAACCGTCAACCCGTTTTTGTTCTAAATATATGCATTTTTTGAAATTAAATGCACTTGTTACGTTTGTACAGTTTTAAACGTTGAAAACATGCGTTTAAATGAACTACTGAGCAATTTATGCATTAATTACCATAAGGTTTGGTTTAACACAAGTTTTAATTTCATTTAAAATAAATAAAAAAGTTAAAAATCCTCAATTTTCGGAAAATGTTTTTATTTCTTGTAAAAAGCAGCAGGAAATTAACTTGAAATGAATTGAATGGGTGCTCTCCAATAAAAATTAAAGCAATTGATGTTCACTGTTTGAGAGACTTCGTTCGTAAATGAATTAAAACTATAAAATATACGGCCGATATGAAGAACGGATTAAACTCAATCGTTGAAAGCATTCAATGCCGTATCAATTATAAATTTTAGAACATTTTTCTAGACATGACAGCTTACCGCTAGCAGAAGTGGTTTCTGATCGTATTATTGTTTTGAATCGTGTCAACAGTATATTAACAAACTCAAAATGGTATTGAATTACAAATGAATAAAATCTGTGTAATATTTCACTTTCTCACAAAGCATTGGTTTGTATTAATGAATTTTCATTTGTTTTTCAGATGCAGTTTATGCTTTTATTTAGTCGTCAAGGGAAGCTACGACTTCAAAAGTGGTATGTTGCATACACGGATAAACTTAAAAAGAAAATTACTAGAGAATTGGTGACCACAATACTATCAAGAAAACCAAAGATGTGCTCATTTTTGGAGTGGAGAGAATTGAAAATTGTGTACAAAAGGTAATAAATTCCCAACACATAGCTGTCAGCTTTCTTGCTCCTGATTTCTGTGCATTTCAGAAACTTCTCTAAAATTGGCGAAATTTTTAAGAAAATCACTACCAAATTGTATTCTATTTATTGCTTGCTTGCATATTTAAATTAATATTACTGCTGCTTCAAAAAGTAAGCTTTATTTAAGCTGTCCAAAGTATTAATTTTTTAAATTCAAACTTTCTAAACTTATTTGCATATCTTCAAAATTATGAATTCTAAAATTAACATAAAGACATTTTATGGATATTTCCGTATCATGATCGTCAACTACAATCGCCAAGGTGCCAAATAGATTTTGAACTTGCAAATTTTTTTTAAAAAAATATGTAGATGTTTTCTGCAACTGTCTGGAAGTTTCCAAGACTTAGCAATTATGCTGCCACAGATCACGATACGGAAATATCCCCAACAATTTTTACTCGAGTCTAACTATTGTTAATCATTAATGGAAAATATTAAAGTTAATTTAAACTAGTTATTGTTGAGATATAGTATTTGCATTTGAATGATCAGATTGTTTTTATATTGCACAATTTTTAATTTAAAATCCATTTTATCTTGTAAAATCTACTGGATTTTATTTTTTTCGTATTGTTAGTTCTGCTGATGCAAATAGTAATCTCAGACTATCGTCGGATCTGCTGTTGAATTTCTTATGATGCTAGTTTTGATTTGTTTACTGAAAAATCCCAATTAACTAGAACGAAAAGATATAATAGTCAATTGAAAAACTTTATTATGAAAAATTTCTGTTCTGTATTGATGCCAAAAGAATCACAGAGTTTTTACAAATTTCGGGTAGGGTACTTATCATTAATCTACAGACATTGGAATAAGTCATAAAATATTTTTTTTCTTTAAATTGTGATTCAGAGCTTTGGAATTTTCCAACTCTTGATTAACTCATCCATAGGTGCCGTGAGAATCCTCTAGATCTATGGTTTTACAGTTTGAAAGTTCCAAACATCTGAGTCATGTGTTTCCCAGAGAGCACATCATGAATTACTCAAACGCCTAGGCAGCACATCTTTGCCAATCATGATTTCACCTGTTTGCCAATCACATTTTTAAACAATACCAGGTGTTCTACTACTCATTTTTTTTAAATAAATTTGTGCAAGGTTAAAATCCTTTTGGCACCTTGGCAATGGTAGTAGGTTCAAACAGATATTGCTATAGAAAAATCAACTTCAATGGCTTAAAATTTAGTTGACAAAGCAGGGGTCTGTCCAGGCCGAATTTACTACCGTTTAGCGGTACCTTCACAAATTCAATTTTAGGTAAAACGGTAGTTTCACAAATTCAACTTTAGAAAAAACAGTAGTTGCACAAAATACTTTTTCTTAAAATTTTATTTTTGTATCCCTTAAGAAACGATAAATCTATATTTTTACCATGTTTTTGTATTGATTTTTTAATATCATTTTTTATTTTTCACAAATTATGTCTAAATTTTCACAAAATAGCTACCTTTCAAAAAAACCTAGACAGACCCCTGCAAAGTCAATAAGCAAAATAAAAGAACAAAAGACTGATAACAGAAGTTGAAAATTTATCTATAATTGCATTGTTTTGAAAGAAATGTTAAAATTTTAAGTAATTTAATATTTTTGGGTAGCATAAACACAGTTAAACCATCAGCTTTCATTATTAAATAGATCGTCTTTAAAAATAGTATTGCCTACTCAGAATGAAATGTTACTAAACAGTTTAGTACATCTCCATATGCTTATGTACATGTTTGTTTATTAAGTTAAGATAATATGGCTCACATAACAAAATAATTTGCATAGATATATAACTAATAACTAGCACAACTAACTTACATAGCACAATTAATAATTTATTTCTTCCATGCTATTTTAGTTTGAATGTTGTATATATATTATTGTTATTGTTAACATAATTTATTAATAACAACACCCTCTATATGTTGAGTTTTTTGTTGTCCCTTGAAAAGGATTTTTTATTATATTTATTTTTATTTATAGATCTAGTTTTCTTGTAGGTATGCAAGTCTGTATTTTTGCTGTGCAGTGGAACAGTGTGACAATGAACTTCTAACTTTGGAAATAATTCATAGATATGTGGAACTTCTTGATAAATATTTTGGGAGTGTAAGTTTCATTTAATTTATTTATTTTGAAAATTGTTAGCTTTACGGACATTTCAAGTTCGTATTATTTTATTTCTTTAAATATCTAAATTCTAGATTAAGGTGTTTAAAAGATTGTTTAATTTTCTTCAGGTTCAAAATATAGCCCAGTTATTTTGTCCCATCTCTCTTTTAATGTAGATATTCTAAGCAAAGGTTTAAATCCAGGATGCCAAAGCACCTAAAAAATTGAAGCTGAAAGATTAAGTAAATTAAGATCTATAATCTTAAGTACCATGAATAAGTGATATTATAAGTATTTTTATTATTTTCTTTTATCATTCATTTAAATTTAAAACCTGTAAAAAGAAGAATAAATAAAGTGATATGTTTCCTGAAATCCTAATGACTAAAAGTTAACTATTAGATATATATTTTTTTATCTTATGGAAAATTTGTCAGGACCGTTGAGCCACTGAGAAAATCCTATTGGCCAAACCATTCTTGCTCAAAAGAGAGGAAAACCTACATTTTAAGCGGAGTAACTGTCTGGAAAAAGAATTTAAACTATTCCAATAACAGACTGGATAACCTTAGCCAAGAACACAGTGGCCCGGAACGGAATTCTTTGGATGGAGATATATTTCCAATATAGTTTCCATTATTCTTGTAATTTTTTTTTATATTGTGTATATAGTTTTAAATTAAATGAAATATTATTTTTTAAAATATTTGGAAGCTTAAGAAAAATTTTAAATACTTGTACAATCTTAAAATTTAAAATTTGGCATCTGGCTTTAGTAGAACTCATTTCAATGAAAAAATTAAATAAAAAAATATTTGCTGGTCTCTTAATAAATAAGAAATCTGTGTTGATATAATTATTTGTAAATTAACATGAAAATAAAATATTTTCTCTGTCTGAAAAGGACCCTCATGCTCATTTAACTTTCCCCACTATTTTCTATAAAAATGATTTGTTTTTAAAAATCCTTTTAATAAAGCAAAACTGTTTCAATTATGTTTTTAAATTTTATATACAGTGGGAGGAAGTCATAGAAATTATCTACTCTAAATATTTTAGTTAAATTTGGAATTTATTTTATGATATAATATATGCAACTACTCTTTTTTGCAGGTTTGTGAATTAGATATTATTTTCAATTTTGAGAAAGCCTATTTTATTCTTGATGAATTATTACTTGGGGGTGAAGTTCAAGAAACTAGCAAAAAGAATGTTTTAAAAGCCATAGCTGCTCAAGATTTGCTTCAAGAGGTAGTGTAGAATAATATATATTTGAAATGTATTTTGAAAATTAATAGCAATGCAACATTTTGATTATAATTATTTATATGTTTATTTATTTTATTCAATTTCTAATATTAGTGCACTGACAAGAATTTCTACATTCGTATTTTTATTGTAAATTTATTACAACATATACTTTAAAAAAATGTTTCTATTATATTTATATATCAGTGATTCCTTTTATTTGCTGTAACCTGGCAAATATACCAAAATACATTATAGGGACAAAAATAAGTAAATATGAAATAAAGAATTAGCACATGGGTGAAGTAATAGCCTAACTTTAAATATATGTGATTGTTAAGCATTGAAAGCACTACCATTCTAATTTTGAGGTGTAGCCAGTGTTTGTATAAAATAGATACAGAAACCTGGATATTGAAATGTTAAAATAGGATTTTATTCGGGTAAGGGCTGGAATTCCAAGAATTAGAACTTTGCATTCTGACTGTGAAATAAAGAAAAGGGTTAGGATTTTCATATCTTTCTGAGCAATATAGTTAAATATTAATAATAATATTATTAATAATATTAATAATGATCAATTTCCTAAACTATTAACGACACATCACATTTTTTTGAGATATTTAAATCAATATTATTTCATTCTTTGTGGAAAAGGTTTTAATTAATTGCATGTTAGTTGCAAGCTATATTTATGGATTAGATTTAATATATAATTCCTGAATACCTTATTACATCTTTATTTTTACTTGATGCTTTGTTTTTACTGATGATCAGTCCTAATTAAAAGCCTTGATTATTCAAAGATAAATTCTTTTTACTGCTTTGAAATTCTTTGTTTTTATCTTTCATTTGATAGAATAATTATATTGATTAATAGATATGGATTAAGAGTTAGAGAATTCATATTTTAAATAAGAGCCTATTTTAAGCAGAGAGAGAGCAAGAAATTTGTCCTGGGTTTTAAGGTCCCTTATTTTCCAAAATCTACCTTATACTGTATATAAGGGAAAAATTAAGCAATACTTAAATATTTTATCAAAATAATAATGTATGGTTAAACACAATTACATTTACTAGCTTGGTAATTACCTTTTTTATTTATTGATTGATTGATTTTTCCAATTGCTGATAACATGAGCTGCAATCATGGGTGCAAGTCTTCCGTCCCCAGGACGGATTTCCGTCTTTCGAAAATGTCCGCGGACGGAAGTAAGACGGAAACAAGACTGACTCGAAGACGGAAATCGGAAATTTTTTTTCTGTCCTTAAAAATATTTTTTAGGTCTACGTTATTGGTCTACTTTCTTATGTCCTGTTGTTATTTTATCAAAAGACAGATGAATAAATATTTTTTGTACAGTACTTAAACTTGATGTATTATGATAAAGCTTTCTTAGATAGTTTGCATATGTCGAGGAGGTATTGTGTACGTTAGGTATTTCAGTCAAAAAATTTTCAGTCTTGGCCTTTTTTCCAACTTGCACCCATGGCTGCAATTAATTTCTTCTATAACTTTAATGAATTTAATTTAAAATACTTCAGATTAAAAGTTAAGTCTCAAAATAAGAGTTGTAAAATTCCTCTTTTGAGTGAGAGCGAAGGAGATAAGTGAGAATTGCTTGTATATAATAAAGTTTTTGACAAAATTGCTTACTGTTTGAAATTATTCTACTACACATTACTTTTGTTGTTGTTGTAATTGTAATCTTTTGGGTTTCATAGGACTTTTCCCTTATTTTAATGAGTTATTTTTCATAGTAAAATCTTGTTTAATTATAAATTATCCTTTTACTTCTTTTGATAGTCGTGTACAGTATTGATATTATTCCTTCAGGGCTCTCTTTTGACCTGTACATTTTAACGTTTTACATATTTTATAGAGATACCATAGTAAACATTAATTATTTCATTTTTTTGGATATAAAGGATGAAGCTGTGGAAGGTGCTCTTAAAGAATTTGGACTTGTGTAATTGACTTATAAGTGAGAAAAATTATAATTTTAGTTTTCACTAGTTTAAGTTTTCATGATTTAAAACTATAACATTTTTTTTTTTTTTTTTGCATTTTTATATAAAATCCTGTAAATCATGATATATTTCAAAAAGTTTTTGTGAAAAACATACTTTTAAAACTGTTTTGAACTTAGTACCAAGCAACAATATTTACTACCAATCTCAAGTCATTAACTAGGTAATTTGTGTTAATTAACATAATTTTTTAAAAATGGTTTATATATATTTTTTAAAATAATAACTATCTAATGGAAATAGTGATTTGTGAAAAGAGTATTATCTGCAATCCTATTAAAATAATTAGAAACGTAATTATATTTTATTTATAGAATAACATGTCATTAAATGTTAAGAAGAATAATCGTAATTTATTTTTCAAAAAAAAAAATTTAGATTTGAACAAAATTAAGTTTTAAACAATACTTTGTTCATGCATATAAATTCTTTAAATGTTTTAAGCTCAGTATGTTTAAAATGAAACTGTATTTATTTGGAAATGTTTACTGATTGATGGATGTACTCAATAATATAATTCTCAAATTAAATGAAAAGCATGGCTTTATAAGTAAAAATAAAAATACAATAATTTAGATTTTTTTTTTTAATGAAGGCATATTTATCAAGAAATTAGTAGTAGAATAATTTATTTCTACAAAACATTGTATTTTCACTTCCTATTTATGTATACATTTTGTGTTTTCAAAACAAATGCAGCTAAGAAAGCAATACATTATGTAAAATTTCTTTAAAAGGAATTTATTCTTTTATGTGATCAAGGATAAGTTTTATGCATTTTTTCCATGTGTTTGATTATTTGGTTGTTGGTTGTTATCATTTAAAAAGTTTCCTTTTTTATGTAAATATTTATAATTTTATTCCCAAGCTATGTGTGCATCAAATTTAAAAAAGTGTAGGAAGGTCTAAAACAAATTGAATCTTTTAATTATTTTTTTAACTTTAGTCTATGTGTTTAATTAAATCTTTCTTCTGGATGAGGATTCCAGCTTATTTTTAAATAAATATTCTGGAATAACCTATTTTTTCCCTATAGTACCAAATTGGATACTCAAAAAATAATCCAATCAAATATGAAATCTTTCATTTATGATAAAGTTATAAATAGGTTTATAATGCTATCTAAAACAGTTTTCAAGACATCTTACCTATATTTTTGACAAAACAAATGTTTCTTTACTCTTTTGAACAAATTAAAGTTTTGAGTGAGATTTTCAGTGGACAGATAGTATCCTGCAAGACCTTTAGATATCTTGCTGTTTATGTATTCATAGTGAAAAAGACACAAATATTCACACTAAATTTGAGATGTTATGGTTCCCTTTTTATTACAGTAGTACCTTCATTGATCAAAATAAATAGTGCCAGACCTGCTTCTAATAATCAAAATATTTGAATTATAGTGATAATGTCCTTCTTAATTCAATTTCTCAAAAAATCAGGATTATCTACATTGCAATATTAGAAATCTGCTTCTTCAACACTGCAATCCAACCACACTGAATTTTTCTTGTCCCGTCTTTTTGCTATGATTATTTTTAAACATGACTTCTTTTTTTTATTACAGATTAAATTTAGAAAATCACTAAAAAAAGTTGTTGATTACCATACTAGAATAAAAAATTTTATGTATTTGTGACCTCAAAAATTCTTCTAAAACCTGATGCCTCGAAAATTTTGAAGAATTTTTTTCGAATTCTAACAAGAAAAAAGTTATCAAAATCAGTTTTAAATTAGAAGAAAAATGGGGAATTTTGCATGCAATAATATTGTATCAAAAAATAGATTTTATAAATGGTGTGGAAATTTTTCTCAACAACTGATGAAAAAACAATCGACAAAACGATTTGTATTTGCAATGAAATCATTGCCTATAGAGTGTGGCTTTACTTAGTAATTATAGTCACGATCACAAGTTCGTTTCAAAATTTTTTTGTTGAGGAAAAATAGCAAAATTTTAAAAAATATATGAAGTTAGTAGCAATAAATGCCACCAAAATTATTGAAAAGCTATTCACATTTATAATGAAATTGAATTTCTCAAAAAAAGTTATAACTTAATTGCACAACTCAAAATTTATGTGTTGTAGTAACATTTTCTAAAAAAATATTTGAATTTCAAAAACAATGCAGATATGTGTTGTGGCATTGTGATTTAATCATCACGATAAGAGCACATTAGAGAAAGGATTACTCAATAGCATATCTCAAGATTCAGAGTATTTTAATATTGTATTAAGTTTATATAAAGTTTTTAAAAACTATGTAAATTCAAAAAGTAACTGCCAAAAAAAAAAATGAAGGAAAAACCACATGGGTTCTCAATGAAATAATTTTAATCCTGTAACTTTGACATTTCTATTGGAACAAAACACCCGAGTAGTCCAGATTTTTGAGGTTATACTGTAATAAAACAGTGTTATTACTATTTTTATTGTAACTATAAAATTTAATCTCAAAGTATGATTTGTTGTATAATGTATAGTATGTGATATTTTTTCCATGGCTTCCATTCCATTTCAATTTTTATACATTTTATTCTTTTCTATTGTTAATTAATGAAAAATCACTTTTATGATATAAAACGTTCATACAAAGTGCATAATTTGCAATATTCATTCATAAAATAAGAAAAAGTGTACAATATTTTAATTTTACATTTTGTTTTTAACAACAGTGATATTACATGTTATTTTAACTTTTCTGGTGTTTCTTAATTTTAACTCATTGGCAACCTACTTGGCATGTTATAATTTTATAACAAAAATAATACTGGAATGTTACAGCCCTTTAAATGTTCTTTTTATTTTCAACATTTAAATGTAATGAGGTAACTTATAACATAATTATTATATAACAATAATTATTAAATAAAAATAAACCAGATTAAATTGCCAATACAAAGTTTTAAAACCAACTGTTATTGTCATTTACACTTACAACTGTCTTTTTCTTAACACTATATTTTCCCCCCTATAGTTTATAGTTAAAAATTTTTTTTAAGGATAAGAATCCATATTATAGATATATCAAGTCTCATAGGTACTAATTGGAATGTATTATTTAAGCATTGAAAAAACCAATTTAAAATGCAGGTATATTCATTAAATGGGTTGCTATTATACATCCAGACCCTATCAATTGCCCCCTTCTGTGACATGTATCATCATAGCTGTCTATACAAGGTGTCTGTAACGTATTGCAAGGGTCAAATATATAAAAAATATGAAAATACAAGAGTGAAATATTTTCGAAAGATACATTCTATAATAAATGCGACTACCCACCTTCTCTTCCTGGGATGGGGTGGACGAAACTTCAAAATCTTAAATAAAAACCTCTATTTTTTTATTGCAGCTTTGGAATCTTCAGAAAAATAGTGTCACTATTTGATTTACAAGTTTTTTCCATTTTGGTTTACAGATGGTAATTACAAAATGAAAATGGGGTACCAATTGTTTAAAATGGAGATGGGTAAAAAAAAAACATATCAGAAAGAAAAAAAATCGTGATATTTTGAAAAAAATATCTATCTTTTGAAAACAAACTTACCTCTGCCCCACCCTTTTAGGCTGGGATCTTATTTAGTATCACTGAATGCAACTTTTAAAAAATATTTCACCCATATATTTATAGTTTTTTGGTCTTATGTGTGTTTTTATTTAAGATTTTTGACTATTTCCATGCTCTTTTGGACTCACTGTATTTTAGAACACTTTCTTTAAAAATGATACTCGTATAGTGTTCATTCACTCCAGATACTCTTATCTTCAGTGTTTGCCTGTGATTACATTTTCAAAACAAAATGAGCATCACAAATAAATTTATATGTTCACAAACCTGTTTGTAAAAAGATTTTTTTTATGTTAAGTATTTTGAAAAATTTTAAGACTATCGATAGATTTAAAAAATATTGAACTCACTGAAGGATATATTGTGAAAAAAATCAAGATAAATATGATATGCTTTAATTACATTTTGGTAAATGAATGTGTTCTTCCAATTCAGGTGCTAAATTGCACAAAAATAGTAGTATATTATTATTACTATTGAACTGTGATCTTTAAATTGTAGTGTGACTTATATAGCAGCAATACTATTTTTTTTTTTAAATTTATTTTTAGCAATGGGTCTATTTCGTTAAATGTATTGTTGGTGTTAATTTTCTGGACTAATTATTGATGCCAAATTTAAAAAAATAATCAATATGTGTAAATAATGTCTTTTATATTAATGAAAAGGAAATGTTGAATGTTTAGAATAGTGTGTTAATTTACTTATTTCAATGTATCTATCAAAAATGTATACATTGTAAAAGGAGACTGTTGTACGCTGATTTTTTGAATTAATTTTCTATGTTCTATATATAAATGCATAATTTAAATATGTCAAATTTCAATACACTTTGCAATTATTGCTTTACTTTTTATTCTTCCTATTCTTTGTTGTCGTTTTAATATAATGTTATCTAGAGCAAGGATTCTCAACCAGTTTTTATGCAGTTAGGGAGAGTTATCAAAAATAATCTTCACAATGATGGTTGAATTTGGAAGTTTCGTTGAGATGGGCTCTTCAATTTCTTTCTAGCCAAATTTTAAATTAAATGTAAGAATCCAGTAATAAGCTTGGCTACTGCTAATGTACCTTTGCAATGCTTAAAAATATGCATTATAAATAATTAAAAGTAATTTATTAAATGTCATTAAAAGGAATAATGTAACTTCATGTGCCTCCTAATGAGTCCCCTTTTACTTTACCTGAAGTGCAATATTAATATTCTATTTTCCATATTTTTTTATTATATTTTTACTGCTTTCATATAAATGGAATGATACAATAGAGTAAATATAATGGAAATTTCATATAAATTCTAATATATAAATAGACCAAGGTAACTTAAACAATCATCCTGTTTATTTTAGTCCAAGGCCTATACAAGAAGGTTGCCACAGAGAATTTAGTTAAAATACACAAAAAGTCTAGGAAAATACATTAATTTGAGTTTGAAGTACCTAATAATCCAATATTTTTTCCAAATATATAGGTCTTGTTGTGTGTGTGCATATATATATATATATAAATTTGTTTTCTGTTTCTTTAGTAAGGATATGTGTTTTTAATTAATTTTATTTTTAAGAGTAAGACATAACTGATAAATTAATGATAATACTGTTATGCAACCATTTTTAAAAATCAGGAAGATTTGATAAAATTAGTCAAAATTTATATAAAATCATATATTATTGGGGAATATTTTTTCCCTTAGTTTTTGTGAACAGCATGTACAAGTATTCTTTATTTTAGTATGTCTTTCGCCATATATTCCATACAGCATTTTGCAATTTTTGGGTATAAAAAGGTTGAGAATCACTGATCTAGCGAACAGCTATTGTTTGTGCAATGTTGCATGACAGGACAGTAAGTTTTGAAAGTAGTTTGCAACAAATTTAAAAATAATTAAGACTGACAATTAGTTTTTAGGCATTCTGAATTTTATTTGTATATTTCTATTTTTATCTTTTGGAATTTCATAATCACTATATACTTCATGTGTGAATCCTTTTACATTACATAATTTTTTTTAAATGTTTTGAATTATACAAATTTAATAAAAAAAAATTACTTTTACCAAAGGATGTGACCACTTGTTATTTATACATTATATTTATTAAATTTATAAAAGTAAGAGATATGTATACCATTTTTTTGGAAATAACCTTCAGTCTAATTTATTTTTATAATTTCTTAGTACAGCTGCTATTGTTTGTGATTTTAAGAGGAATAGCAAATTAAATTTAAAGCAGCTTATGATATTTCAAAAAACACAATATGGGTGCTGTAGTGACTAGTTTAATGGAGAAAGTTTCTTCCAATTTTTATTTTAATTTAATAATAAAGTTTTGCAGATTAAAAAGAAAAGGTTCCATAAAGATTTTTTTTTGTGTATATATTTTTTAAAGTAATTAATAATTTTATGATGGTCATGAACTTTAATTAATACTAATTCTTTAACTTAAATTGTAATTAATCGGAATAAAAAATTTAACGGCATGAATAAAGACTACTTCGTTAATTCTATTAATAAGATTTGTTGAATATGTTTAAAAAAATCTAGTTTTACTTTTTCCCATAAAAAAAAATAGTAAGACTATAATTTGCAATAAATATTATATATTTTTTTTCAAGATGTGTATTTTGGAGAAATCGTACTTTATTTCTTGACAAGATAACCTGTCCCAAACTATTTCTTTAATTCTTTTATAAGGAATAGCAACACCTCTCATTTTAAAACGCACAAATTTCATTATGATTAAACACTAAACATTTGTTATCAGTTGCTTTGCTTCATCTTCATTCTAAGTATTAGCAGTCATGGTTCAGCACAAAATATAATTAAAGAAATGTATAAGTTTTTGCAACTCATTAGTTATTAATTAAATGAGTAAAGCTTTCTGCATATTAAGGATGAATACTGATATCGTTGTTAATGTCTCAAATATTGGTATTTCTACATATTTTAGAATTAAATGTCATTTTTATAAATGTTATTTATATTTAAAATCATTTCATTTTTATGTAAACTGGTAAATGCAGCTTATTTAACTTTTGTATTCATGTACTGGCTTAGACCTATTATATTCTTGTAAATATACAGTATGTTATCATTGTGTTACGTATATCTTGGCATCTAGTCATTTAATATGTTAAAAATAAAAATTTTGGAATGGTGATTTTTTTCGTTCATTTGAACTTGACAAGACATTCTCATTACATTTTCAAACACTACTGGAGTATAATTATGGTAGTGGCAAGTTTAATATTAAGTTTCAAAATAATACATACACCTGGATTGATTAAAAATTTTTTTTTCAGTTCTTAAATAAGTATGGTAATTTACAAAATAATTACTACAGACTAAACAATCTTATCAAACACGGCATACCATCTCCTATTTTAAAGCTGACCAAAACAACTTTTCGAAAACACCAGCTTGTTGTCATATAACCAGGCTGATGATTAAAAAAGCGCCTTAACAAATTTACCACCTACCTTCTTCACACAACATTCTTAATTAAAAAAGTCATTGGGTTCAAAAATATATACGTCTGGCAAGTCTTGTGAATTCAATTATTTAAAAATGTCATACACTTTTCTTATAAAGATTCTTACATTTTTAATCGTATACTAATATAATTTATATGATAATTTCTGCAACCAACAGTTCTGTATATGAAAATTTTAATTTTTACACTAATAGACCTGTTGAATGCCTTTCCTGTGGTATTCGAGAAATAACCTCGGGTCAAACTACAAGGAATATAGAAAAGAAAACAAGTTCGAATCTTAGAATATGTAACGTGGGGAACTGCTCTGTTTGGTATGTTATACCAGAAAAACAACTTACAGGGTAAGCAACATACTCAGATTTAACAGAGCATCATACGTTAAGACTCAGCACATGTTCCTAAGAAGCAAAGGGACTGTCAGGAGGTACGTCACCTGTGAACTGGTTGTTGGGCAATTCTAAATGCATGGTTGATAGGTACGTCTGCAACCGCCTTTTTATTCTTTCTATGTCAAAATGTCTAAGCAGATTTAATCAACATTGATAATATAAATGGTTTCTCAAAAGAATATCTTTATTAACAGTTCAGCACGGTTTATTAATACTGTTAAAATGTAGAAGAGATCAATGATAAATGAAAAGAGAAAACTTTTCTTCTTCACCCCCAACCAAAGTAGTGGTTGGGTGGAAACCAGTTTCAAGAACTGAACTGCTGTGCCTCTAAATATTTTTTCCTTCATACACAGGGACCACACCAAACCTTGGGGGACTGGATTACATTATGCCTACGAAAGCTAGACTTCTTCCCTTATGTATATTCTTTGCCAACTATTTGAGAACAGTCTACTTGTATTTCATTTTTTGCCACTGGGCATTTGAAGAGTCTCCATTGAACTAGGGCAAAAGGTTTTTAGGATCTGCACCATGTGTAGGACTGCTCAAGCATCCTGTATTAAATTTTACCTTAAATTTCTTATAAAATCCCTAGCACATCAAGTAAACTACCTTAAGTTTTATTTCATGATGTCAATAACCTTAGACTAGATTTTTAGAGAACCTTTTGTGTTTTTTGAGATTTTGATCTAAATTTAGCTTTTTTATTCCATTTTGGGGGATTAATAACAACAAAGCTTAATTTTTTTTATTTCCAAAATTACAGAAATCTGCTAATACTTTTAAATATATTATTGTTCATCCAAAGTAAAGTGGATTTTATATTGTATAGAAGACTATTATTGTTTTTTTTTTTTTACATAACAAAGAACAACCATAACTTAAGAAGTTGTAAAATTTAGGTGAACCATATTTTATGCATTTTATATAACAACAAAATTGAGAGTTAACATTTTAACAAATTCAGTCCTATGTTTTGAACAAACAAAGTCCATCATTAGAATAAGCAATAAAAATGAGGACAGGAATAGAAATAAATTGTATAACAAAATAATTTATCTATTACAAATAAACTATCCAGTAAAATGTTAAACAGATTTAACCACATTTGTGTTCAAATATTAAAACATCAGTTACTACAATGAAATAAAATTAAATTTGCAACACAAAGAAAAATTTATATTACAGTACAGAACCCGTTATCCGGAAATCAGAAAACCGGAAAACCAAAAAACCGGAACGAAATTTGAGAAATTTTCCCGCCATTTTTTTAAAAAATATTTTTTTCCTCATAAGATTTTAGGATTTTTCTTTCTTTTTTGAAAGATGTTTACCTTACCATCACTTTGGAAATAACCATTAGTGTATTACTTCATCGCTTTTTCTTCTTTTTAAGATTATTTCCATAATTTTTTTTTTTAGTTGGGTTTAACAATAAAAAAAACGGCTTTTTGTAGTGATTCAGAAAACCGGAAAAATCAGTTATCCGGAATAGCGATGGTCCCGATCGTTCCGGATAATCGGTTCCCTACTGTACTATGGACACAATTTGTTAAATCTAACTTTATTTCTTATTAACAATGTACAAATGAGAATTTCAAACAAAAAACTAACATGTTAATTTTATAAAAGATATTTACAGTTCTTTCTCAATGCTACTTGTATAAATTCTTCATTATTAATAACCTTTATGACCTCTAAATCTTGTTCTATTGTCTAGCTGAAAAAAGAATAAAATTGTTAAGATTATTATTGCAAGCTGTTTAGAATTGAGAACATAAAAAGTTAATAAAGAGAATATAAACTTGTTTTAAAATCTATAAATAGAACTCCGAGAATCTGTATATAATCAAACACTGTAAAACATGGATTTTTGTCATGCAGTTTTATCGATTTAACAACATACTTTTTTTTATTAATAAAACAGTTCCAATAAAATATTTTATTTCTTTTTAACTCTGATCAAATAAAATTTTATAATAAATATTTTCCAGATAAAACTAAATTTTAAGCTATTCATTAAGCTTTATTTATGCCATAATAACAGTTTAAGTATAGTCATATCAAAACTGGTTATAGTAAAAGAAATAAATTTTCAAGATATTTTACAATAATTTTTGACAAGAACAACCAAAAGAATCTTTTTGGCAAGGCCAACTGGAGTTAGAAAGAAAGGCAGACCCCGTCTGAGATGGGTGGATTGCCTCCAAAGGGACTTTACCACAATCAAGGTCAGAGACTGTAAAGCCGTGGCATGCAGAAGAAAGGACTGGTGCAGTCTTCTTGAGAAAGACAGGGTCCACCCAGGACTGTCGAGCTACTGATGAAAATGTTTAACAATAATTTTTTGCACCTTTAAGAGTTTTGATTAAAATGTTTCAGAAACCATATTTTCTTTTATTCAAACAATTAAGCTAAATTTCAATTACAATTCTAATTAAAAAAACATTACTTCTTTCAAATTAATTCAAGTTTTCCTGTTTTGTTTAGCTAAAGTACTTGTAAGTTAGAAGCTATTCACATTTCTACCTTTTATGTTCAGTTTAAATAAATGTAGATATGAAGGTTATTGCATATTTTTGATAGCAAATCCCAACTTATCTGTCATATCTTTTGTGTTAATTTTATTATTTTTAATCTGTAATTAACAAATTAGGGAAGGGAAAAAAACTTTTGATGTGGTAGCTTGATAAAACAAAAAAGAAAAGTTTAAAATTCATTTCAATGTCTGACAGTTTTAGTCTTAGAAGAGGTTCTAGAATTTATCTTTCATGTAAATTGGAAGCGTTTTGCGAAAGATATTAATAATACAGGGCAATCTCCAGGAAAGACCACCTCTATGTAGCGACCACTTCCGTAGACTTTTTTTCATTGACTTTGTGTAGAAGAAAACATTTAAGAGAGACCATTACAACCTCTCCCAAAAATCTGCACCAAATGTGAAAAAAGTCAATTAAGGAAATACGAAAAAATTATCGAAACAAAAAAAATTAAGAAAACAAGTAGATTAGATTAAAATGCATTGAAAATATTTGTGTGAGGCTCTTATTTAGAGAGCTCTTTTTGACGATACAACCTCATGTTGCAATCAGAGTGCACTAAAGACATGCTATTAATGATTTACTCTTAGAGTTAAAAGTTAAATTAGAAAAAAAGTTATTTTAGAAAAAAACAAGTATCTCAAATTAACTAATCTCTTCTCACCTTTTAAAGCTAACTAATTTTTATGATAAAAAATTAAATGCAAACTTTAACCAAAAAACATAATTGTTTATTTATTTAAAATAGCTTTATGATTCATAATTGGTAAATTTGTTTTTACACATAATTATATCAGTTGGGATGATTTTTTTAGGGGCTAAATTTCATTAATCAATCCGTCTTTTCATGAAACCAAAAAGAAGAGGGATTTCTGCACTAAGAAAATGACACTGACTAAAATTAAAATCGTTAAAGGAAAATCATGTATCTTCGACAAGTCAATAAAGTTAACCTCTAATAACGACCAACCTCCATCAATGACCATTAAACTGTGGAACAGAGAATGGTCAACCTCTTAACGGAGCTCCCATTATTAATTTTTCTCAAACATTAACTTTTAACAAAAGCAATTAAGAAAAATTCACCTCATAGCTAACTTAATGTTGATAATTTTTACATTAGGACCATATATTTAAGTATACAAATCAACACCCAGCAATGAAAAAACTTGGAAAAAGTGGAAATTTAATGACTGTAATTACATTAAATAATGTAATTACTGTAAAATCTTAATAAGAGTAATTATTCAATTCTAAATAACAGTAAAAGAAGAATACAAAAATGCTAAGAAAGAAATTAAAAATGTAATAATAGAACTAAATGAATCAAACACATTTAAAGTTTTTCAAATAGTACAATAATTATAGATTTTCAGGTTTAATTACTGTCCTCATTAAGTGTATTTCAGGTAGGGACAATAAAAACTATTTTATTTCTTTTACTAAACTATCCTCAATACAATTTATGAAAGAAAATTATTATTTTTTGAATATATTATGAACTTTTTCAAGTGCTTGCAATTTCTTAGAAGAAAATGAAGGGGTTAGTAAAGTCATTCACAGATTAGATTTAGATGAAATTAAGCTTATTGATCCTATAAGAAATAGTATTTGTGATGCCAGAATTGGATGCCAATTCTGGCATCACAGTATTGTTCTGTAGAGAAGAGTGTTCTTTGTAACCTGGAAGTTATATTTTTTTCAACTAGCATCATCTTTAGTGTTTTATTGGTACTTTTCTTGTTTGGGACAGTAATTACTCAAAAATTGGGGATATGTACATAATTTTTGGAGCAAAATATACAAATTATTCTAAAATATTGACAATTTATATTCAAGTTTACAGTCATGTCATAGTAGAATAATGTATTTATCTCTATACTAAATTACTTAAAAAGTTTGGAAATGTGTCTTGGTGACAAGGGGCAGCTGAACAGTGTGAAAGAGCAGTGTTTTCACTACAGCGCGAGAACGCGAGGATCTCGCATATTTTTTTCTTTTCTCGCATTAAAAAATGATTACCGCGAGAAATTCGCGTATTCTATAAATCAATTTCAAAATTCGCGAAATTCTCGCATTTTGGAAAAAGTTTCGAATTACGTCATTTAGAATAAAATCCGTTTCACTTTTCTTCCTGGATCTTCATTATTTTCAACACTTGCCCCGTTATCTAGCTTCCCTATTTACCAGTAGGTATTGTTCAGAACCTTTTCGAACAACAGAACACAACCCCTCCGAACCACGGAACCCC